ATGGATTCCTAAAATCCAGATCATGCATGACATGTCACCTTGACTTCTTTAACTACATAACTAGCAGCCGTGACAAACAACAACTAGTACTTGTCATCTACTTCGACATATCCAAAGCCTTTGACCGCGTTGACCATTTGCTTCTAATAAATAAGCTAAACTCCTTAGGAATAAGTAACCCATTATTAGGATGGATTGAATCATTCCTTAACAATAGGTCCCAAGTAGTTAGACTGGGTTCTGTAAACTCTAAACCTAGTCCAGTCACTTCTGGAGTAGTTCAAGGTAGCGTCTTAGGCCCCCTCCTATTCACTCTATATGTCAACGACATATGCAGCTGTTTCTCACTTGGCAAACCATTCATCTTTGCAGATGATCTTAAAGTAGCTTACACATTCCACTGTGATGACTTAGGGTACTTTCAGAAAGCTGTTCAGGAAGAACTAGATCGAGTAACTGCATGGTCCTCCACATGGAACCTAAAATTCAACCTTAAAAAATGTGGTTGGATATGCTTCGGTGCACCCTCAATAAATATTAAACTGGTACTTGAATCTATCGACTTGCCTAAACTCCAAAGTGTTGTTGACCTAGGACTCAGGTACTCTAGTGACTTGACATTTTCTGAGCAAGTGGCGACACAGACGCGTAAATCGAGGATGCTCTTAGGATGCATACTCAGGAATTTCCACAGCTTCGAAGCAAAACTATTATTATATAAAACTTGTGTCAGACCACTACTTGAATATTGTCCATTTATTCTCAGCAGCACTCGCGTAAGTGACAAACTTAAAATAGAAAGTGTCCAACGATACTTCACGTCTAAACTACTAGGATTTGACTGCGAAAAGGACTACACATCAAGGTGTATAACTCTAGGTATCGACCAACTCTGGATGAGACGACTGAGCATTAACCTAACATTTTTCTTTAAAATATTGCATAAAATATCATTCTCAGACAGTAAGGAGATACAGTTCTCACCGGAAGGCTCTTACAACCTTCGTAACCAAACGTGCACAGTATCTAGGAAAAACTGCAAGACAACACTCCGTGCAAACTTCTTCATAGTCATGTACTCTAAGATCTGGAACAGTTTACCCCTAGAAATAAGGACCTGTCACTCTATCATAACCTTCAAACGCTTGCTATATGAACTGCTTCATCCTAATGACTATGCCAATCACACCGCACCACTTATTTCTAAAACGCATGAGCTATTAGAACACTATAACGCCTAGACTCATTACTAAATATTATGACACTAAATAAACTCTAAGACTTCGCAAAAATACATGAAAGAACAACTAGATTATAGGTAGTGTTTACTATACAATGATATACATTTATAAACATTTATATATACATAAAATATTAACGTCCTGTTCATGTTTACATACTTTCTCTTTCTGTTATTATATCCTGAGCCTGCACTTCTATATATCTCCTGGTCGAGGTCGAACAACCCATCATCTAAACTGAAATGACCATTTAAGTAAATTCAAACTCAAATTCCATGAACGATCCGTTGCAACCACTTGAAAACGCTGGCCAACATTCTGTACAAGGAGTATTCTTGATCTGATATAAAGAAACAACTGGTTTTCAAACAGTTTTCAATGTATTACTCAACTTACATGTACAGTCTGCCATGCTGACGCAAATGGCGCAAATGGATAGTTCTAGAATTGACCCCATTTGATGCAGTAAAACAATCTAACATTACCTTATCTAATTTTCGTATCAAAGATCAAATTTCTTTCCTATTATAAAACTACGATAAGACTGCTGACAAAAATGGAATAAATACATTATTGACTCAAAATAATACATCAATAAACTTTATCTCACGGATGCTGTTCACAACAAAGTTTTATAGGAGAATTGACTTCAAGCTTTATTTTTCCCAGATATTTGTATCACATTCATCTGAAGTCTGGGTTTTTTGTTAATGCGAAGACAATATTTCTATATCTCTTTATGTGTTACACAGACAGACTATTTTGCAGACTGTTCTGACTGACTCTAATGTTAGATTGAACAAACAAACTGTAATTTATATAATAACTTATCCATGCCTGTACAATTGGTATGTTCCTGCATAAACAGGAATAAATATATATATAAACTGAAGAACGAAACCACAAATCCACAGTGGCTGTAGTCATCAAAGCAAAGTCAAAAACATTGTATAGCATCACTGGATGAAACGACGTGGAATAACGCTGGAACTCTCTGCTGTTCTTGATGCTAAACGCCTACCAGAAATGACCTGGATTAAATAACGGCAGACTATTTGAGGGTCAAATCACAATGACATTTGTGATAACAGAACATGGGGTGAAGCCTCAAGCTCATCTTCAGCGGCTCTGGAGACACCTTCGATAACGTCGGCTGCCAAGTAATTTGGAAACTGCTTCAACACTACGGAATGTTATGCTTCATATATTTTACCAGCCATATGCAACAGCTATATGAAGGCGCCACATGCTAAGTGATTCTCAACGGAAAAGTCAGCGACGCCTTTAACTGATGACAAGAGTTAGACAAGGCCGTCTACTACGTTCGACGATATTCTTGATTGTGGTCAAGGGGATCATATGATGGACCGTGGGAATCGAGAAGGCATACGTTAGCCTGGAAGGAGACTTCAGAAGATTTGAACTAAGACGACACTTTATGTCTACTGTCACATAAACTCAAAGATCTACAATCGAAGACCAAAGGGTTGCCAGAAAAGGGAGAGAAGTCAGAACTTCAAGTAAAAACAAAGAAGACCAAGATGAAGGAGATACTTAACCAGCAATGACGAGCAGGAATCACCATCAGCGGGGAAAATCTAAAGGAATTTGTAACTTTCACCAAAATCAGCAGTATTGTTTCAGCAACTGGCAGACAGCAAGGACGAGGTTTTCAAAGCCTGCTAAAAACAGGGAAGCGAAATGAGCAGGCGTTCAACACTTCAAAATGAGCTTTGCTACCTATAACAATCAACACGGGGAACAAGATCCAAATTTTCGGCGGTAGTAGTACAGGGACTTTGCGCACGTGTCATTAAAGACATTTTTTCAGCAGCCGTCTACCCTCGATACTCAAGATCGGAAAGCAAGAAAGGATAGGAGTCAGTGAACTCTGCCAGTGAATCGACCAAGGACATATTGTCAAAATTGCAGGGAAATGGATCGGACATTTGCAATATAGACACCTGAGTGATATCACGTGCCAAGCCCTTGATTAGAATTGGAATGTGAGTTGAGCTTCTTAGGGTGCGTTGGTGGAGATGATGAGAGGAAGAAATGATAACTTATGGAGAGTTTTGGAGCAGAGTAAAATGTGGAAGTTAATAATACATAAACTGAAACCCTGTGTTCTACTTGCGACACAGGGGAATATTAATAATACCAACAATACGAGAGTACTGAAAACAGGTGCAAGAAACTAGCAAATTACTTTTCGATCATGTATTATTTGGAAAACGTCAGCTTTTTCAAAAGATAATCTCACCTCTTAGGAATGATTGTATGATATTTCTGCTGACTTGGCATACTTTGCGGAAATTAAATTCATCTCATACTACCGTTGCCTATGGGGAGTGTCCATACCACTGTCATTGACTACAGATTGAATTACTCCTACTAGGCATCTGCATTTCAATTTTTAATCTGTCGGTGTGACTTTTGAAGCATTCTTAAAACCGTCACTGTCTGGTGAATTTCAGATTACCTACCTGAGGATTCTCTACCGAAACGACTATAAATATGTATTGGTGTTCAGAGGGAACTCTTCCCAGTGCTCGCAGATCGCGGTCTGTTTAGTGGGCTCTTGTGACAATGATGAAACACTGACAAATTCGATACCTTTCTAACCGGAGGAAAAAGCTTTTTGTCACCATTCAGTATTCAGTGATAGCTCATTAAATCTAAATACTAGTTGCCATTGCTTGGAAAGCCGAATGTCATAGCAATTTATTGGAGAGGAATTTTGATGCATTCTACTGGCCAGCAAAAAAAGCAAGGCAAACAGTTATAAACGGTCTGTGTCACTGTGTTTAGAAGGTCTGAGTCAGAAATAAGCCTCTCATAATATGAAATATTATCGACTTTGATTAAAGTGATGCTTTGTGAGGCACATTGAGACTTCACTCCTTGAAGGCATTACAAATTTCATATAGAAATGTTGAGGATGCGCATGCGAATTATTAGATTAGAGTCCTTCCCATTGTTTCGTAGCTCGGAACTGAAATCCGAGCACCTACCGTTGAAATACTGTCGTAATTTCAAGTGATGGACATCTCAAGATGCGAATGGTTATCTTGTGACAGGTTTATTCTCCAAGTTCTTCGTTAAAGATGAGGTCGCCCGCTTTGATATCGATGGAGTTCATCCTTTCAGACTAAAACTCTTCGAAAGTCACATCGTGATGTCAAAATTCCTGGAGAGGCACTGAGAAATATGGAGAAATGGTATTGATAACACAATATAATATATTTATTCCTGTATATGTAACAAGACTGATAATAACAGAATCCCCCCAGTATGTGAGATTGGATATAATTAGAATAATGTCTTCGGAATTTCAATATTATGTCGACGCTTAGTGAGGAAGAAGCCGGACGTCGAAAGGCAAGATCAGAACCAATGAAAACGGCTGGAATGGGCAAAAACATAATACATAACAGTAGGTCAGGTGCGAATGGAATGTACTATGGAGAAAATTTCTGCCATTTAACTATTTGGATACATTCACAGTGTATTGAAAACCTGACACAGCAAGAGTGGTGTTTAGAATCCGCCTTTCCTTTTTCTGAAGGTAAGTACCACAAAGTATGGAAGATAATGAATGGTCAAACGAGGATTAGTTCCTTCTCCTTGCCTGTATTAATAAGATTCATCAACCTTAATTTTAGATATAAAGCACCTGGAATAGTTTATTACTTCTAACTGAAACTGTAGGTTAGATCTTTGTTTATATCTGCCGCATTGACTTATTAAACAAATAGTGGCAATTTGTTTGCCTGAAATGTTGCTTCCTCCAACTATAGTATTGATGATTTGTGCATTTATGGTTTCATGTCTGGATATCAAAGAGGCGGATGAAGATGGTAACTTCTACGTCCAGTGGGGTGATAACCTTGCTTTAACGTGTGTACAAAGGTCCTACTCTTACCAGAAGACAGTAATTGATTGGTTCCTACCGTCTCAACCAAACAGTCCTGTTGGTTATGGAAACAAGGCTCAAATTTATCATCAAGACCAAGCAAACTCAATAGCGTTAGTTTTGGTTGTCCGTTCTGTGACTTCAGATGATTCTGGCAAGTATGTATTGTTTTTATTGGCTTTAATACTTCATTCTGTAATTATGGGTCACAAATCACGACTTTTTCCGCTTATACTTGAGAGGTATCAGATTTGACCTTACTTGATTTTAAATATGGAATGTTACCACAAAATTAATGGTATCAAATACAATGCCTTCATTTTTAAGAATCCAGACGTTAAGATATATCTTTTCGAATATATTCGAATGACACGTTGTATATTCCTAGTTGTATTTAAATAACTTTAGCTGTACACTGAAATTTCTAGACTGCTTTCTAAGTTGATGCTAGTTCTCACTTTGCTCTTCGACATAAGCCCTTGTGTTCACTGTCTTACCATCTTGATTTCTTTGAGTGTGCATAGATATACGAAAGGCTACTGACAAATCGGAGAATTTTTCACAGTAGACGTATGTTACTCAGTTTCAGCGATGCATGTGTGAGTTATTCTAGACCGTATTAATCCTTTCTTTTGGATTTTGGATTCGATTTCTCTTTGAAGTTTTTCACAAATGGAGCTGGTATCCTTTGACGTGATAAAGGTTTCAGTCTGTTGACCACGCCATATGGGTACTTGCATTCCATTTCATATTTCATTGGCTATAATTTAAGAACTTTTTACAGTGACCACACAATGGTATGCTGAAAGAAGTGATGTTAGAAAGAACAATTCCCAAATTACAACTAGATATAAGGTAGGCAAAGTAAGGTTATATTACCTCCTAAAACAAGATAAAAAATATGTTTAGACTCTCTTACCTCTTCTTACGATGAAGGTGTAAGGTATCTCTAACTAAACTAGCGTCAACTTTTTATAGTCTTTTCAAGAATTTTGCCTCCCTGAAGCATAGAATAACCGTCTGTATTTAAGATGAGGTGATATATATATATAACAATATGAAGCTGGATTCATGCTTCTTGCGACAATAATTTCTGAAATGTTTTTTTCCATAACGTTAGACACTTCTGTTTGCTCCATGAAGTAGGTCGAGTAATATCTTTGACCTAGATGCTTGCCACACTTCATGCAATATGTTGTCAATCCGCATCAACTAGACCACTTAACTAATCTGTCAAGTTCATTTCAACTCTCTAGATCCAAAATTTGTGTGGTCATGTAACTTTAAGTCTCATAAGAAATTCTTTCGCCAGTATATCTCATTTTATTTTTACAAAACTTTACTCAGTTGATTTCTTAGGCAATTCTGCCGCTTGTTATTTGTTTTGCCAATGTCATTCTTCAACGAAGTCATCTATTTTGACTTCAGTTTCTTCTGAACGTCTTTGTTCACTATACGTGACTTTTAATTCAGACTAAGTTGAATCAATATATAAGGTGGCAAAAGAGTAAATAAAAGTTTCTCTGGTTGTTAGATGTTTCATTTTTGGGTGCTCATGCTCATCATCTGCAAATGACAGATAGTCATCATCCCTCTTTAATATGTAAAATACCATGAATTACAGTTTATAATGAGTAGTCTGTGATAATTCACAAGTTCAACTATTGATAACTTTCTTGTGGCTTATATGCTGTACGTATGACTACACACTTCCATGCTTCCACTGACGTGTTTAAAAGCCACTAATTCCTGTGGGACAATCCATCCATTTCTACCCTTCCTAAAGTTTCCTCACCGTATTACAACACATGTATACAGCATCAGAAAATGATTCTTGATACCTAATATTTGGTCAAGTGACGTAAGTCTAATGCTGAGCCATGTGGAACTTCGTCTTGTATTCGTTAATAAGGTAAATGTTTTGACTCTACCTAGATTTTCTTACTAATATCAGAAATAAGTGAATTGTTGTTAAGATTTTAAGATAGTATTTCAAGTCTTATCTATAAAAATTAAGAGTACTATCGCGACAATAATAAAGACTTCGAAGGTGAAGTGAAATAGAATGAATTCAAGTGGTAAAATAGAATAAAATAAAAGAACACTACTATGACCAAGGTAAAGAAAGGGGTTTAACAAAACTTTTCGGAACACATTATTTAGTTTTTTTCATGTAAAGCTAAAGCTTTCGTAATGGATAAGTGGAGAAAATGTAGGCTCTTGGAATGGTTGGATTTGGTCCTGGAGATAACTTTAAAGGATAAATCACATGGGGTTAAATGACCTAACTCCAGAAGGTGTTCACAAACTCAAGACTTTCTTTTCCTTACTCACCTTTCATTAACCAAACCACGTAGCGTTCAGCTACGCTTGCACGGAAAACACACAACCACCAATGTAATTAGATGCATATGAGTATGTGAATGAGTATATCCACATAGAGGTGGACATGGGCAGTAGTGCCTCCTTACTGCATTGTCGAATCATATTTTGGCTGGTAAATACTAATTGTAAGTCAGCTGCATAAAAAAAGCCTTCAATACATTTAGATAAATGACTTTTGATTACTTCAGAAATAGTGTCACCTTTGAAAGCCAAACTCATAAACAGTGCCTTCTCTGGCACTATGATTTGGCTGGGGATGTTTTCTTTCTTGATGTTTCTGTAGATAAACCTTCTAGGATATCCATCACTTAAGAGAGTTGTCCGAGAGTTTTCTAGCTCTATATCGATTGTATCTATAAGGCAGATTTCCCGATTTCGAGAACTTGGGGAACCTACAGGATATCTCTTTCTGCCTAAAGTTATCCAAACGTTCAAGTTATTATACTGCCCTGTACATGTTGGCCTTCAGCAACTCACCCTTTTCAACTTACTTTTCTTTTTTCTCTCCAGCATGACACCTAAGAAGTAAAATGCTGAATTCGACTGTTTTTCGATAGTGAAAAGCACAGATGAGTAAGAACCATTAAATTTACCTAGAAGCTCAACAGTTGAAGAGTTTTCATCACAAGTAATGAAGGTGTCGTCAGTATATTCCTTATACATATGCAGAATCGAGATTGTTTGTTTGAGTAGACACCTCTCGAAGACAGCCATGAAGACATCTGCTAGAAGAGATCTTAATGGAGACCCCATAACAACTCCATCCCTTAGGTTATAGATGACATCGTTAAATCTAAACTGCACATTAAGTGTGCATCTCAATAAAAGCTGCTTCAGATAGTTAGTTGGCATTGTAATGTTTATGCATTCTAGGTCGATGTAATCACATAGATAACAAAGAGTTTCTGCAAACGGTACATTTGTGCAAACATCTAATGAACCCTAATGAACATCTAAAGTTAAACCCCTTTCTTTACCTTGGTCATAGTAGTGTTCTTTTATTTTATTCTATTTTACCACTTGAATTCATTCTATTTCACTTCACCTCCGCCATCTTTATTGTTGCCACGATAGTACTCTTAATTTTTATAGATAAGACTTGAAATACTATCTTAAAATCTTAACAATAATTCACTTATTTAATAATCCTTAAAAGTTTAGTAATTCATCCACTTCAGCTCTACCTCCTTAATGTATCATTTTAGGTATCTTTGTTCTTATCATATGTATATTGACTGAATGGTTTCTAGGGAAACTTAATGCCTTTTTCCGTGATAAAAATACGACCGTACAGCTTGAAAATGAAGCGTTGAGAAGAAAAATTTCTTAGCTGAACAAAAACTGTTTCTCCTTATGAACTAATGGGTGCATTTCGTAACATTAGAAAGTTCACTCTTGTTTCGCTAAAGATAACCACTTGCAAATCCCAAATCTAGTGATATCCATAGCGATCTAGTAAGAGATACTATTTAGGCTTTTGTTATAGAGTACAGATATTTGTTTTCATTTCATAATTTTTGAAGATGCCATCTTTCAATATAGGATGCAAACTTTAATATGACGCGAATTTATTTTGAACAAGTTCATTATTTTAGCAGTCTTATTACTACACTTTTAGATCTAGTGAGGTTGTCAGCTATTTCGCTATATATTTTATCCCAAAAGTTATTTGGGAATTCACCTGAGTGACTGATATGTTTTAGGAATATCTCAGTAGAAAACCGCAAAATGTTTTTAACTGTGAATTCGTAGCTAGTCTTGCTCTTTAGGATTTTCATGAGGCCAAAGTTCACATGAATCACGATGACCAACTGAATTTTAAGTGGATTTTTAAGCGCATTATTTGTTTAATTAAGAGAATTTTAAATACACATCTTTCTTGCTGAAGGTACACTTGTCGTATGGGAAGACAAGATGGGAACCGTTTTGTTGAAATGGACCGTAAAGACGTCAGTGTCATAGTTAGGCGTAGTATCATGGCCACAGACTGTCCGAAGGACCAGTGGATCCCTGTTGTACCGGGGAATATAAACTGCTTCAATGAAGATGGTTGCCGAGACCTTACAGCTACCGTTAGATGTGTTATACAGGCCTTTCCTGCACCAACAATCCACTGGCGTTTTCAAGGTGTTCAAATTACGACAGGTGCCAAATATATTATAACAACTTCTGGGGTAACAATCTTAAATCCAACAAACCAAGACTCTGGCATTTATACTGTAATTGCTAGACAGCCACAGCAAACTGCTGTCTTTGATCTGCGCGTCTCTGCCTTTAGGTAAGAATAATTCAGATAAAAATAATACGTCTGATATTTTTAAAGTAATTATCATCTTTAATTTAGAACTGACAGTTCCGCATACAATTGACAAGTAATTATTTGTTTATTATCTGAATCTGTATCCAGATTCTAAATACGAAGTTCTAGAAAATAATGTACGTTTTGTAAAACTAAGAGAGAAATTTTAGGAACACAATAAATTAAATGATCTACTAGTTGTATCATAACTATGAGATATCTGTGAGTTAGTTTCTAAGTATAAAATAACTACAGTCGGATAATTTTTTGCGAATGTGTCTACATATTAAATGAATCAAAAGCTGCATTTTAAGAACAGAATTAGGAATAATCAGTGGACCCACAACGGTGCATTTAAGAAATAAGTTTACTACCATTTTAGCTTTTTGAGTAATCTTTGGACTCGAATCCTTCTGTACTTTTTAGGCTGTTTTTAATGTAACTGAGTATTTGATTTTGAATGTCAGCGCCTCGTATACGTGACTTTCCAGTTTTTCTGTATCAATTCTGCTAACTAAAGCACCAGGAGCGGAACTCTACCGATCGGTTTACATCCTCATGTCAGTCCGAATTCTAAAAATATTCTGTTGACCAATAATTAAGGGCTTTCTTATGACAACATTTTTTAATGCAGTTTCTAAAAACAATTAGTTATTAATCGTGATAATTCGTTTCTTCTTGTAAAATTAAACTAGCCGTCCACACATAATTTCAGGCCCATCCATTGTTGGGTTACACAAAAAGACTATGGTTGCTGGAAGCGAGGCCTATCTACAATGTTTGGCTGCTGGCCAGCCTCCACCTACTATTCACTGGTATCATGAACGGGATCCTCAGACTGAATTACAGAAAATAAATCCTGAAAAATTTTCAGTTAACACAAATTATCAAGTTGGTTTACTGCGGATTTCGCGGATATCCTATCCAGAAGTGAGTTATTTACATCTGTCTAGAGCCAGTTATGCTTTTGACATGAGATAAATATACCGAGTTTTGTGTAAAACTTATTTAAAATTTTTGAGCAGTCTACATCCTTTCTAAAGTTAATGGATTTTTTTGTTATCTGAACAGTAAAACCTTTGGTTGGGTGAACACAAATAAACTGTATATCAGACTCAATGATTAAAAGCTGCACACAATGAACGTCGGTACCACAACCATGAAGTTGATTTACTTTGCTGCTGTGCAGTCAAATCAGGTAACGGAAACAAGAGCTCTGAATTTTTAAGACTGAATTACTAACTGAATAAAATGCCCATTAACAGTTTTTTTCAGAAGAATGGTCACTGAACAAAGAATATTCTTTTCGGTAACTTCTTCATCAGGTTCTACAGTCATATATTCATAATAGTGAATGAATTAGTGTCATTAACAATGTTTATGTTTAAATAACATTGAATCAATTATAATATCAATAGATTACAGTTCGATAGTATCAACATGACAATAAACTGAATGTAGGAGAAATTAAGGATAACTAATAATACAGAATTCATGAATTTATAGTCTCTACTGAAGGCCAGGGCAGCAGTATTGGCTGAACTTGCTTCTTTTGCACAGAAAGCACTGGTTGTTTAACGCGAATAGCGATAGCCTCAGCTGTTTGGAGTATGCGGTACCTGCATTTTTTCGGCAATTTATTTGGCACCTGATACATGATAGAGAATGATTCCTCAATGTTGGCTTTGTGGCTGGTTCGGACCAGATGGTCTAACATCCAACTGCTGACAGTTTTTATTACACCTTTATTTAACCACACTTGTAGATGCTCCCGAGCACGAAAAATCAAATTCCTAGACCAACAGCCAATATAACTCACTCCACAAGCTCAGTTGACGTGGCTTGTCTAGGTACTTCATCTTTCTGTTGAGGAATCACCATCGGTCGTGTAGAAAACAACCAGTAACCGTTCTTTTGAATTGTAAACTCTTTGTCTAAAAAAGGGAAGTAGGTTTCATTTCATTTCAGTGATTTTTATTATTTTATTGTCAGCAGTTTTCGTCTACACTGAACAACAGTCACATGCGCCCAAACAATGAGAAAGAAACAACGTTTTATGAATTTGCTAGGTTTTGAACTTCCTGGGTTTAACGGGAAAAATCTTAAAAGGACCGTTAGACAAACGTAGTGGGTAAATATAGGTTAATCCACTTCAGAAATGAATTAGGCATTAGACAATATCGGGGTGATGTTCAAAATGGGAGTGAAAGTATGATTCAACTGGTATAAGAATAAAACTTGGGCACTGTGGTAGAGTGTAATTCCATTATGGGTAAATTTTTATTTTGATAGAGTCTCACAGTGTTATACAGTAATATTTACTGATGACGTTTCGAGCACAAACTATTGCTCATTATCATATCAAGTTGATTATGAATTTTTTCCTTAATTGCGTAATTTGCTTATTCTATAGTTTTTGTGAAGTGTGTTTCTTTAGTCAGACTGTTAAAGAGTAAGGAAGGAATGTCATTTTATATTATGTTTTTGTTTACCGATAGTCAGCTAAGTTATGTAGTCCCATTTTGAGATGTATGCTTACTTGATAAGAGTAAAATAATCACTAATCATATCTGAGAGAATCTGAAAGTCTAAGCCTGATGAAAACAATGAAATAATGAGATTAAATATTAGTATGAAGTGGTCACAAAAATGTCAAGTGAATGAATGACACTTCGTATCTACAGGCTGAAAATATTCGAGGTTCTATTTCGAACTCATTATTATAAGTAAGTAGTGCATATACATAATTAGTGACAGATAAGCTAGGTCAGCATCGGATTATAAAAGCTTTATATAAAAACTTTTATAACTATGGCTTTAACGTCTGTAATGGACAATTATTACATTTTCTCTTGGTGGAAAAGGATTCTGGCGTTTATAAATGTCTTGCCATAATTCCAGTCGCTCCAACATATTCTGGTTCCAGTTCTCTCTCCATAGCTGAAGCCGAGATGCTTTTCAACGTTACTCTTCCTCCAAAGCTGATCCCACTTACAACTATGCATAGTTATGTGGACCTTGGTAAGTATTCTTTTGCTGCGTTATCTTACAGAAAGTTCAACAATCCATATTTTATTCAGTGATACTATTATTATTTATGTAGTTAAGGATAATTTCCGCATACGCCATCTTTATTATTAATTCTATAGACAGTATTTACTCAAGTTTAAACGTTTTCCTTAAACTTATTGAAATTTCCACATTTTATTTAAATTTAGGGAGAGCTGCTACAGTTCAGTGTCGAGTTCGTGCCACAACTCTTACGGAATTTTACTTTAAACGTTTTAATTCAAACATGTCGTATATACTGGGATTTCAGCCTGATGATAAACGTATTCATGTATGGAGACGTGAGGATGAAAATGACCCTTTGAATCACGATATATTCTTAACCATTCAAAATACAACGTAAGTTTCTATTTGGAAGTCTATTGAATGTTACAGGCATTCACAAAACACATGCACTGTATTGTTGAATAGTACACAAGAATTTATTGAATTAAATAAGTTTTGTGGCACTCTTAAATGCCATCTTGTAATACCGCGGTGCTGTCGAAAATGTATGCCAATAAGGTCTGAAATCTGTTATTGATTGTACGAACTCATTTGGGACAAAATTTCGAATAGTCCTCTTAAAAACATTGCTTTATGTCACTCATAAATAAGGTGTACTTATAACCTTTCTTAACCATCATTGAATTTAATGTTTACGAAAGTTCACGGAAGTATTATGTTCGTCAGCCTAATGGCTTGATTGTAGACATGGTCGGCAGACATAGACTGACTTTTAGACTAAACAGCTTAGTCTGATTTGTGTGTTGTTTTTTTACCGATTGTATACCTGTGAACCATTTGCTTTGGCTGCTAGAGCCTGTATTAGTAGACCTAGACACTTATCACAAAGATTCTGCAATTGAAAATTTCATGCATTGTAATTTAAGAGTTAGAGAGAGACTGGATATCCGTTAATATGTTCACCTAGTTATGTCTGTTTTTCAAGTGGTGTGACGATAATTAACATGGAAAGAAAGTCGGTATGTTTCATGCTTGGCAAAAGCCTACTTTGTAACAACTCATCATCAACACATTAGTGCACTTTTTGAATAGTTGAGAATTAGTCGGAGATCCACGATTCAGTTTGTTCACATCATGTCAGCGCTGCTTTATGTGAATAACAAGTGGTAATATTCTGTCCATGGAATATATATGTTTCAATATACACACATGTTTATTTGCTTTATCATAATACCTCTTGTTCAAAATAATCATAATGTGGAATTATGCCATAAAATTTTCATCACAGAAATGATAGAGTATTAAATATTTTATTAGTTTAGAAGACACGTGGAACTATAGCTGTCATGCAACTAATGAAGGTAATTCTACTTCGTGGAATACTACTATCCAAGTGATGCACATTCCTCAGCTGTCACTGAGAACAGGAATGAAGCCAGATAACGAGGAAAGTGAATTAAGATTTGGTTGGCGATTTAATGCAACCAACTTAACTTGCATTTCCCGCGGAATGCCACATCCAACTTGGTAAGTATTCTATATTAATTTTCAGAACGGATTTGGTATAAAGAACCATGAATAAACTTTACTAAGTGGACCGTTTTGTTCCAGTAATTCTTGTCTTTCTAAATAAATTATAAGGGGTTTCATATTTATTCGAAACCCATTAATTTATTGCTAAACTCTAAACCCTTTTATCTTAATAACAATATACTTTTACGACTTATAATCGTAAGTAAACTGAAAGTTTTCTGTTGTTTTAATCCTGGCATTTACTTTCTCTCGACTTATGAGTCAAACGTTTTAGTCTGAATCGCGACAGCTTTCTTATTTCTAAGATTATATATAATTTGAAAAAGTATAATATGACTCTCCTGTGAGAATAAAAAGTACCTGCTACTGTGCTTCATATACCCCTTACTAAAAATAACTCTAAAATAAGGATATTGGAAACATGTGACCGAAAAGTTATTTTTTATTTTTATGTTCTGGTTCACCAATAAGCTGACTAGAATAATGTGAATGACATGACGTGAAATTGTTCATGTTAGTCTAAAGGATAACCAATGGTCAAATAAAAGCTTACGCTAACAGAGAATGCCCGAGTAGTTAATTCAAAGTAACTTAATAATTCGTGAACTTGAACACTAACAGTAGTTTGGTGATAATTATACTGAAATGCATAAAGTTTGCTTTGATAATAGAAGATAAGCCATGAGGATTATTACAGTGTTAGTTGTTTACTTCTCTATTACATTGTAAAGTTGTAATGGTAGTAACCTTTAATACACCTTCTTGTATCAAATATGAAACGAAGGCTCATAAGTTTGTATCGAAATTTTTATGTCTTAGTATATACTCTTGCTAGAAAATATCAGTAGTATGAAGAATAGTCTAGATAAATGTAATATGCTCCGGTTCTATCAAAAATTTTGTACTGTCCTAACCAAATTCGAGTTTTAGTTATTTCTCATTTGAGGTTCATCCTAGTTTGCGATTCCTGTGTAGTGAACATCCTAAACGCATGATAGTGTTGAATGAAGATGGGTAAAGTAATATTCCTAGACGAGTAGTTTGGGTAGTCGCAACTGAGTACGCAGAACCCCTTTCTCTGTCATACAAACAAACTTATTAGGTGATAACGGATAATACTACCTAGTCGCTAAGGAGCGGGACTGGATCCCTTAGGAGACATTGCCATATATTAGTCAAATATAAGTATTTTTGACTATAGTCTATTACATGGTCACATGATTTTAAGGGGAACATTCACCTGTGTTTCATACTTCTTGGTTTATAACTAGCGTACAGGTATGATCTAAACTAACTGATACGTCGCTACGACGTACTGTAATTTAGCGTTAGATTTCTAAGGTTATTGTATTACCTGCTGAACTTTTACACATGACTACTTGACTGTTATTCCAGCTTCTAAGTTGGATAAGTAAATCTGGCTCCCGTCAGGTTTAGATAAATGTATATACATATATATATATATATACATATATATGGGAATTCATTTAGGCCTCTGTTAAGCTGAATACTATGTTACTGAAGCATCAGAAGTGTGTGTTAAATGAGAATAGAACGATCAGATTCTGTCTGAAATTGTGCCTGACTTATATTTCGGTTAACATCCTAGTCACACTTGCTAATAATCTTAGTTGTCTCATTACTGAATATTTGTCTTGGTAAGGGTTTCACATTTTAGTTTAGATAATGCCGAAGTTTAATTATATCTGCCCGCTGAACACTTAAAGGGGATTATAGCCTCTTTAGGTACTGCTTATTCAGACACCGTAAGTGTTTGTCTTGTCAGCAGTTTTACCAAAAACTGCATTTCAAACAGTGTGTGTGCAATAATTCTGAAAACTTGTCTGTTTTTAACTGCCATCCTTACCTTCAACATATTTTCGAGTGTATCCAATAAAGCGCATAACATCTACGTGGATGTTTTGTTGATTTACGCTTGAAACATTCAATTTCCCCTTTGCTGGTTAGAAAAGTTTGCATGAATTCCTTTACACGAAGTTACATGATTCTATTAGACGTTTATAATTTTTTGTCAGAGCAAGCTCCCAGTCTTTAAAACTGTTTTAGAAGCAGAATAAAGACTAAGTGTATGTAATAATAATACTTCACATCAATTTTGGTTGGCAGTTGGTTCTTACATATAATTGCTGTATTTGTGTTTTCCGCTTGATCTTTTACTGAAACTACCATGAGGTTGTTATTAAAGTGTTTTCTTAAAATTAGCAACCATTTTCAAAAAGTAACTCACATCGGTGTAATCTGCCCACAACTAAAATTGATTTTAAAAGGGTTAAAAATAAACAATAAAAGGTCCTCTTCCGTGTGATGGAATGGTATTCTGAGCAAATTTGTGGAAAATCACCGCATTTTAGGTATAGCATTAAATATCATCTGCTTAATACCTTTTGATTGTGAAATTCAATATCGTGTGTTATGCTAGCCCTAACATTCTGTTTTCATTTACTGCCTTGTCCTCCACTCATAGGACGTGGTATCGCCGAGGTGAGCAAATTTTAAACGGGCAGAATTCGACTTTTGTAATAATGAGCTATGACTACTGGGATCACAGCCAATCATGGCTTCAGATTACCCCGTGCTTACGTACAGAACATTTTATATACGATGATTATGTGTGTAAGGCTACAAATATCAAAGGCACAAATGAAAGCAAGGTTAGCTTTCGACGATCATCTGTACCTGGACAACCAACAGTAAGTATTATTTTAGTTAGTCATTAGTCATTTCATAGAAGTGCATGACAAATAAACGTTAATTTCGTTACTAAATAGATTAGAAATAGTCGATCAAAAAATGACTATTACCTAATAATCAATCCAAATATTGTTCACCGTTTGATATATTCGTTATTACAAGTCGTATTGGATGTCCTGTGTGAATTTAGAAGTTAATCGATTGATATCATTCTAACAGAAACTTCACAGAAATCATATTTATCCCAGCTTTAGGCTCATTGAAGATCTGATGAAGAATATTAGTGACTCTTTTAGTTGATGGAAAACATCACCAAAAACTTAATGAATACTTTTTTGATATTGCTGATTGATGCGTGTCATTTATGCTGTTAAAAATGAGTAAAATTTCAAAAGAAATCTATTGATTGTGATAAATTTGTTTATTGTCATTTACTAGTTACTTCTTCACATCTGTGTAACTAGAATAACATGTGAATTACGAAGACACCTCATATACACATGAATGGTAGAGTAACTGGTTTTATTCCAGTTTTAGGTATTAAAAAATATACCTACATTATGCTATTGTTATCACTAACATGTGAACTCACAGTCATTAATCGCTCATTTTTATTTATCAAAGGAACATAAAAATGCAAACTGAAGAACTAAAGTGTAACAGATCTTCAACAATGGTGCATCCTAACAACGGTTCAGGCCGAATTTCGGTGGCGAGAAAAACTTCAACGACTTGCTTAGAATTTTATATATTATAAGAAGATTAAAGTAGCTAAGCAAGAACTTAAAGATGCATTTAAGATTATCCAAAGTACGATTTGTTGATGCATGAAGCTTTTTGTGCATGCTTTAGGTCGACTCTGCGGTCCATTTCTGTATTCACTTTATAATCTGTCAGAATCTATATTAGAAAAGTATATCACTGTGTTATATCGAATAAACTTATTTAGTACGGAATTATAACCCACCATTTGATCACAGAATAACTTTCTGAAACTTTAGAATATTCTTGAGCACATATGCTAAAATAAGGCTTATCAACTCGGTTCAGGAAATATCACCTAGACATCACACGAATGAATTAATAACTGATAGTAGAAACTTGTGTGATGATAAACGGACAGTAAAATACCATCCATTCACATGATACTTGGACATTTCTTGTGATGATTATAGTGAGAAGATAACTTCACTATCCAAGATAGTTACATTATCAATCAAATAATAATATTAATTTCAAACTCACTTAATGGGGATTGTTTTGAGCGGTTTCATGTGACCCAGTAAAATGTCGGGCGGAAGGTTAAAGATAAGAAAACAAGATGATTAGAATACCGTGGAACTTACCAGTATTTCTCACTACTTGATGAAGCTGATAACCGAATATCAAGCAACTTTCATGTTCAGCATGAACTACAAATATTTTCTTTTATTCCACATGCCTATATGTTTGCCATTATGTAGCCTCTTGTTAAACGTTAAATGGAATTAGCTGATATGAAGCTCTGACTGCATTACACCATGGTGCTGAACAGTGTCGGGTCATTCAGTTTAGTAGCAATATTCCTCATCTGGTGCATAAACTTCCGTCACCACACTTAAGGCTAGATAGCTTCAGTGAATATTATTTAGCGACCTGGCCTGGATCACCAAATATTTCACTGTTTTATAAGTACGAAAATCGAAGTCATCCTAAAAATTTGCCTATCTGTACATTAGTTATCAGAATGTGAATCTCAACAGGTGAACCCTTACTTCCATCTTGTAGGACACCAAGTGAACCTACTGGTTTACGGTTCTAAAGTTACATAACATACTCATTCGACAATCTTTTGGTATCAACAATTCTCCAACTGGTAATATTAATAAAATTTATTTTTTAAGATACAGTTTTTCCTAACAAATTCAATATATTATCAAGTTTTGTTTTAAACTTCTTTTTGTTTTATCTTTCAACAGTTAGAGAGCTATTCAGTTACTCAATCAACCATAGTGTTGAATGTTAGTTCACCGATTAATACTGGTGGCATGCCGACTTTGGCATACGAATTAACTTATAGAGCGTTCGGAGGACCTGAAGGGTGGTATGGTCCTGTTACTTTTCCGCTTGATGCTTCTGACCGATTTGCTAAACCGAAATTCGAATTGACTGGTCTACTGGGTGGGACTAATTACCAACTAAAATTATTCGCTCGCAGTATTGTTGGACAGGGTACACCCTACAGTTTTTCAATTCAAACATCCCCTAGTACTCGTCCCGGTCCTGTTGAGGTATATACCTTAATTTATCTAATACTGTGTAAAATGTGCTATTCTATTAGTTCTTTCATGTTCTAGGATTGCTTATTTTCCATCATACACTAAATTAATTGTCAGTGCGAATTCCCGCAACAAATTCATGTAGTCAAAAGGATGCCAGTATAATGTAGAAAAGACTAAATTTAACACAAGCTTCTAGACCAACGTCCTTGCCAGTATTCAAGTTTCATATTTTGACAGATAAGTTACTAAAGGGCTATGTAAAACTTGTTATTTCGAATTCTATTTACTAATCTCACTTACTACGCTATCAAGTCACCGTTGCTGGTAATCTAGAGAGAAAGAAAAGAAATAAGTCAGCAAACTGCTTAAATTTAAAAATTATTTTAGCCTTTCCTGTTTGCTATAAAAATGACATAGGTAATGCTATTCCACTTTAATTTAAATTACTGCAAATGTTTGAAAGTCACATACAGGTAAGGAAATAAACTCACTAAGTAGTCATAACTGAAACAAAAGCGAGCTGCATTTTAACGAAGAAATTACTGGGAATAATTAAGTGCCTTCAGTCGTTTTCAGAACCTCACCTAGTTTACTAGCTCACTAGTTTTCTAGCCTGTCCCAAGCCTGAGTAGAGAGGGAGGGTTCCGCGTGGGGCTAGCGACCCTACACCACAAAACCAATCAAACTGCTACAGAAACTCTAACGCACAAGAAAAACATTTAAACTAAGAAAATATTAAAAAACTTATTCTTCGCTGGAGTTGGAGAGATTAAATGACGCAGACTGGTGAAAGCCTCTGGGAAGACAGCCATCCAGCTGATGTATCTTCTCTTGATGAAAGCAAGAATAAGAATAAGGACGTTTAATGTGTTAGGCTCGGAAATCTGTGCAGGTAACCAAAGAAATGAAGAGATATAACATAGAAGTGCTAAGAATCTGTGAGAGCAGATGAAATGGATGTGGACTGTCAAAATTGTCAACTGATGAGTAGTAATCTGCTCCAGTCACCCAGACGACATCCACGAGCACACTGAGGGAGTGAGTGGCTATCACGATGTCACCAGTGGCAGCCAAAGCTCTAATGCAGAGGGGACCAATTTCATCCAGGATCATGACAGCAAGATACAACTAAAAAGGAATGTTACATTTATCCAATGCTACGCATCTGCACGAAGGAAGAGAAGAAGGAAAATTTTTATAGACAACTGTGTGATACATCCAATAAACAAACTAATGTGGAATGAAACTTTTCAAGTACTATAGAATCATGTAACTCGTTAGGAAACGTCCACATATAAAAGTTATTTAACCTTTTTTATAGGCGAAATTCCTGATTCAAAAAACATGTTTCCAACTGAGCTTTCTGCTATGTTACCAACTTGAACGCACATAGTGTCTAAATCACTCATTTATTTCAGTGACCCATAACTCTTCATGTTCTTTCAGTATTTTATTGCCAATCCTCTTTATCGCCGGAAGTATTCACTTTCAAACCAATCACTACCTACAAAACCAAAGTTTAACTAGCCAAAATAGTCTTATTCTAGGTGACTTTTACTTTTAGAATATATACTTGCCTCCTTAAATTTCCAATTTCTGTTCACTGAAGTTTCGATAATGAAAACTGTTTACCTAGGTTATTCATTCTGCATTTGGGATTTATCCATATGGTCATGTTATAAACTGGATTCCTCCAATAAATGGTGGATCTCCAATTCTAGGTTATCGGATTCGTGTAAGATCTGTTGAAGCTGATTTAAATTCAATCAGTTCAGAAGAGAAAATTCTACCTACTAGTCAGTGGAGAACATGCACACCATTTTTCAGTAGTCCTTATCTGAACTATTACCATCTAGCCCCATTGAAACCAGGCACAACGTATCAAGTAAGTGAAGTCATTCTGTGACATGACATAACCTTTTTATGGTAACTTAATACTAATCCTTGTGTCATTATTTATCGTTTTAATAGATTCGTCACACAAGAATATCGTGTTTAAGACTTCACTAATATGTGAGGCTGGCAATCACCTCAAAAAGCAGTCTTGTTAAACACATTGAAGTGATTTAAAGCATACTATTTCTAAAAATAGTTGCAGCTTAAGTCGGAGATGACATGACCTACTTTTGGTTTCCAAGTCTGGAGTCGCATGAACAAATCTCTCTACGATTTACAGTTTGAGTTTCACTAGTTGTTAAATCGATATTGCCTACATTGACAAACTTTTTCTTATTGAATATGAAATCGTAAAGCTGTATTAGCGAGTGTGACTAGCAGTTGCATAATTTTGCATAATATTTAATGATATGCGGCGTAGGGATTGCTTGAAAAAATGCTGATACAAATTACCAACAGGCAGAAGAAGCTTCTTAAATGTCCACTAAAAAATTATAATTCTCAATTATCGGTTTTTGAAATTGGCGTTTTTAACATTGTTTGGAGCAGACAGTATTAAACTGATAGAAACTGCATATTCATTCAAACATTTACATTGGGTTGTAGTTAGACACGAGGAAAGTCACTACTTAGATTTTTGTAGAAATTAACTGCCTACTGAAATGGCGATTCAGTAGTAAAATATTATTACGAAAAATGATGAAGACTCCTGGACATGAAATTCAGCTCCGAATTTTTGACAAGATTTGACCGAAATGGTTAACTGGAGGTCTTCATATTTGTTCTTCTTTAATTTGAATACCTTTTTCTAACGGCCCACAAGAAGTGATATTGTGATTGTTTTCCTTTCAGGACGTCAAGTTTTGTAGAAAAATGCCTCATATTTCTGAATATAATCTTCGTCCTTAACTGTGATTTTAGGGCAGAGGTAACTGGTAACTGAAACGTCTATAGGAAAACAAATGGTGAGTGAGGCAGAAAACCTCGAATTTATTCTGTATAAATCGCTGAAAAGCCATATCAGATAATGGAACATTCTGTAAACGGTACTGAACCGATCATTGCGTAGCCAAAGGTTTTCACTGTTTCATAATTGTGCTACAGGTGTTTATTGAGAGGATTGTATGATTTTTGTGTATGGTGTTACTAACTTTTTCCTGACTCACACAGGATAATTTCGTGTTTCTTCCGAAGGGAGAACAATTAATCTACCTTACCTAGAAGCTGATCCTATAGATAGCGTCATTCTCATATTTTTTCAAACACTGAATTTTTTATTTATTTTGGCAGTATTCATTTATTTGCCATTTGTTTCCTATTTGATACAAGCTAGACATTTAACTAATTAGAACTAATCAGATTTACTTCAGGTTCAATATTCTGTCAAATCTTTCTGTACATTTCACTTCTGATTATCTTTTCCCCATAACCATACATAAGTGGTCATTTATTCACACTCACTTAGAAAGACGCTTATTAAATTGGACATCTATTATATATTTTAAACGTATGCATATTAATTCATAATGCCTCGGTGAACACTGATTGATCCGAGTTGGCCTAATTACTGAACTAATTCAAGTGAAATTAAAATGGATACAAAATGTATGTTAATTGTTTTAAGTGTATAAAATTCATTGGGGAGTTAAAGAAGGCAGCATTGATCGAGTCCTTCGTTTATATAATTTATGTACAGAACAAATGAGTATGAATAATTAGTGAGATTCAAGCAATTTTAGAAGTAAATTGTTTTCAGGGTTTTCTAAGATTTGGACTCACCTACAAAACTGAAAAACGAGAGAATGCAGTAATTTTTTCATGATGTCACTTTCTAAAATCACAACCCATGCCAATTTTGTTGATGTCTTGCATACATCTTTCTTTCATCGTCTTAGTGTAATGGACAGTAAAGAATAATTTAGTGCCTATTTACGTCAGGTATTTAAACATGAAGAAATGAATGATGCTGTTACAAAATAACACTTAAAACTTCCAATAAATTTATGATTAATGTGTCAGTCATATGCAGCTACACAGTTACGAAGTGATTCTATGTTACTGTTGCTTAAAACCATCAAACTAAATTATTGACTAGTCTTTGAGATACTTACCATTGTTAGAAATATGTTGAATATTTGAAAGAGGTTTCTGGATTTAATATAATATTTTGAAGAATACTGTCTCAGAAATTACATCCTGGAGATTGAAATAGTTCTACTCTCATCTGTCTTCTTTCTTCAGCTAGTCATTGAGGCCTATAATCGTTATGGTTATTCGCTGGATGGGATTGATATTCAACAATATGGTTTCCTGAATCGTACACCAACATTTAAACCTCTATTGCAACAAATATTTCCTGGTGGAGGAATAAATTATCGTAATTCTGAACAATCAGAGAGTTCGGCTAACCTTCTGATGCATTTTAGACAGATTGATCTCATACCTATATGGTATTTGTTTGAAACTCCACCAGCAGATGAATTATATCCTCCACCTCTTATTTTTGGTTATGCATCATCTATCTATGCACGTCAATCTTTTATCGTATTTCTGGAACTTTTCACTGTTATTCTGTACATCTTCCATTAAAAATTAAATTCAATCTACATGTCATCCCGGTAATATGACCATTAACAATATTTTCTACATATTACAGTGAGATAAATCTAAGCAAACATTTTATGTAGAAATTCTTTTACAAAATGTGAATCTCGTTTTTGCTACTGTTGTTTTTATTATTATTATTATTGGTATTGGCACGCAATCATTTTGCGTTTTACTCTTATTTGATTTCTTAACTTTTTTTTCTATAAAAGGCATTTATGTCTGTTACACACTGCATTTACTTCCTCTCTGCGTAGTAGTCAAAAGCAAACACATTTCTCCTAGTCTTATATATATATATATATATATACATATATATATAAAGCCAAAAATTTTAATTTGGTTTCTAAACTTTTTCTGTTGAACAGATGGTATATTATCTGTTTGCATAATTTATGTTGAATTTTTGTTTATTGTTACTATTATTTACTTCGATTATCTTCAGTGACGCTACTAATTGTTTCATTTGTCTCGGTTGTGTGCATTTTATTAGCTTATCCTGATACATAAATTTTCAGTCTCAAAACATCATTGCCATTAAATTAAACATTACGATGTGTACTTTTACTGTTGCTACAGTCTGTTATCTCTGTCTTGAAATATGATTTGAGAAGTGATCCATTTCTCTTGTGTTGAAATATTTTGTTCAGGTAATACCTCAGATCTTTCCCGAAATCGAATTCGAAGACATTAAGACCTATGAAAAATAGATAGGTCCATAGCAAATTTCATATCATACCGAAAAGTTACTTTCAAATAAGTTTCTCATTGGTGTGACCCTATAGGAATATTTTTGGTCAATATATGATGCGCTCAACCATTAAAATAGCTCGTCGAAATGTTAGATTAGATCAATAAACACTGCTTTGTGTGCAGAAGAAATAGATTCAACCAATACTACTAAATTCTGTATCAGTTCTCGCTAATTTGTCTGATATTCATTATCGTGTTATGTTGATGCACATTATCACGCTTATAGATGCTTTTAAACTGTAATCTATTTATATTATTATTGATTCGATGTTATTTAAACATTAATGCTTTTAATAACATTCACTATTATGGATACATAACTGTAGAACCTGATGATTAAGTTATCGAGAAGCATATTCTTCGTTCAGTAACAATTTTTTAGAAACATATGCACTAAAAATCTGTATGTCATTTGTTTTTAGTCCTAGATTTTGCTTGTAGAGAGAGAGTGTGTGTGTGCGTGTGTTGGTCATTTAATTGCATTGTTCAGTTTTAATCAGGTCATTAAAGTACTCATTGGCTATAGTATCTTAACTTGAAAAGATTTATGGAAGGTGGACAAATTATTTGAATTTTATAAGAAGTTAAAAAGAGTTAGAGCGTATGTTTATGTCTATTCTTGACTCTGTTGATTCGTTTTGAGTGAGCTGATTTCTTAAATGTGATTTAGTTACTAAGCTCTTAGTGTGAAAGGATTTTGTTCAAAAAGCGACTGACTTAATTTAAATCAAGCAACAAGTAAACATAGAAATATCCTTTGGACTGTGTGTTGAACAGTATTTACGTAATTAGGTTTTCGACAGCTTTATTGATTTGAAGGTAACTTTAACTTAGAAAAAACATAGTTTGTGACTCTTCAGTTGTTGACAACCACAACAAATCTGTCAGAATGTGAAACAAGCTTATCAACATTCAGTTGCATCTCTAACAACTAGCGGTACAGAGGGATCAGCATTTAGCGCCAGTAGAATTACAATTAGATTTAGAAAAACTGCTGTCTGATTGTTTTCAGTAGTCAAGCTTTATAAATATGCTTATTTTATAAGGCGAAATGAGTTAAATGTTACACTAAAGCATTCAGTTAATAGCCCTGTGATACCTACCATAAATCACTCCAGAGACATTAATTTTTTTTGTATTCTCATATAGTTAAATTTTCCGTTCAACTGAGAGGAATAATAATGATAAATAACATTTGTGCGTCTGTGGCACAGCGGTAGAATGCTCGCCTATCACGCATGTGGCCCGGGGTTTGATCCCCAGCCGATGCACACCTTTACTTCGCTAACCCAGTAATACAGCTGGTAAAGAGTAAAAGCTGAACGTGAGGCTAGCAACCCCATCCTGTTAAAATAAACACTGCTACAGAAACTTCAAGTCTCTACCTTGAAGCCCTACGTTCCACTAGAAACGTGAAGGAATGAAAAAAAGAAATAACATTGAAATGGGCAGAAACACCTTATATGCCTGAGTTTGTGTCTAATTTATTATGTTGTGGGTTCCTGAGAGCGAATCAAATTTACTCGAAGTTTCTAATAGGAATTTGTCTTCGACGGAATAATTTATTAGTAATTGTAATTTTCGTAATACATAATAATTGACAGCGAAGTGCAAATTTAGGTCAGGACATCACCTATGATTACTGGTATAATATATCTACAAACTCGGAAGAACCGTTGATCTGCCAGTGATCCGGCTGGAATCCTGACGTGATCGGAATTTTTATTTCACATTCATGCGTGATACTACACCATATAGAAGCCAGTCTTCAAATTTAAAACTACTTTAGGTACTTTCACATATAGTTATAATTTATTTTGGTGATATAGAATAATTATTGGAAGCCCTTAAAACATCTAGTAAGGTGGACTACATAGAATTCTTTTTGAGAATATAATCATTTCACTTCGAAGATTGCAACAAGAACGGCATTTCAATCTCCATTATTGCCCGAAATTTATATTTTTCAACGCTGGGAGAGCGGATTAACACTGATTCTTCTCGAAGTTTGCCTGTTTCGTGTTAATAACTTTATCAAAATAATAAATTGGAACTAAAAAATCTATGGTAATTCGATCAGTATTCCTTTACACAGAATATTCTACTTTTTCAGATTGGTGATAAAGATAACAAATATTTACAGAATTTAAGATTTGAAGTAAAAAAACTCTGTTTACATATGAGGAAAAATCTGCACATATAATATCAGTTTTTCTGTGGGGCTGGGGTGAGATGGTAGCAGGATGGTGAATTCTGACAGAGCTTTGTACAATCCATTAAATTTTTAATAAAATTTCTATTATACATAAAGCTTTTCTGGGTTTAAACTTTACTGAAGACTCCTGAAATAGGTTCAGTATTATCAAAGTTCATCTTGTGACTTGATCATACAACATATAAACTCATGAAAAAAAAATACTTTCTGGTTATAATTATTGTACTTTGAGTAAGTACCATAGCGTTTATTTCTTAACCTTGATTTTATATATATGTATATATATGGTGGGTAATTTGTATCCCATTATTTTTGTTACAACTTATGATTTTGGTGTACTCATTTCAGCCACGTTCCTGTTCTGACAGTGAAGTTCATGCAATGGCTACCCTTCGAAAAATATTCTTGACAAACATACAAATTTCATTTCTTTTCTTATCTGTGAATAAACCTAGAAAGACCAGAAACAAATGAAACCCATCGAAATGATATATATATGAGAATTCGAAACTCATGTTATCTGTTAGACTGTTTTATCTTTCTGAAAACAGATTGATTATACTGCGATCTTAATCCCAATTAGATACATTTACGCATTTCGATTCTTTTTTCAAGCTGAATGTAATACCAGTATACCCCAAATAACCAATCCTTAAGAATTCCTGACAAATGTCTTCTGTTAGTATCACTAATATACTGTTAATGTAATGCAGTCAAATTCATGATCTAAATTATTTTTTCCCAGCTTTTCATCAAACGTGAATTTGCTGTGTGACACATAAACACATAGCCACTTCTACTCATTTGCTAATATCATTTTTCTCCAAATGAGGAATACTTTTTAGAAAAAATTTGAAGGATTTATCAGTATCCCCAGTATTCGATTCTAGTCTTTTCGGCAGAGTTTGGGAAATAGTATAGTATACCGATGTTCATCAGAAAATTGTGTATTATAACTCCAACTACTTCAAGCTTTCTGCTCTCTATTCAACTGAATAACAGTATTCTGCAAAATGATCAAGTCTTTCAGTATTATTGCTTCAGCGAAATACTGAAATGCTTAGTAGGTGTATTCTAACCCTATAAAGACTGACAAACGAAAATTTGTATTTCCATTTCAGTTACTTTATCTCTCTGACTATCAGTCACTTATCATGATTGTTTCTTAACCTGATCTATCTCCGTTACAAACTTCCTGAAAGATACTAATATGATTATGTTAACTGTTGTACAAAAATAGTCAGGTGAGCTAATATTTGTAATATTACATTCTTATCAGCATGCTTGTAAATTCATTCTTATTAAACAACAGTGACAGAGTATATATCGTATTTTAGTAAGACATTAACAGCCTATACACTAGATACAATGGTTTTCATAGTGCCGAAAGTAATTTCAATCATATAATGATGATTATGGAAGCTTAAGTGAAAAACAGGCTACTGAAGGAATTAGGTTATTAGTCATCAAACATACAGATGGAAAACACGAACTGACTATTTATAATATTGAAAATTACATCTTTGTGCATATGTTCACTTATCTAACTAAGAAGTCAATGTCAGATATAACCGAGACTTGCCCTTCACTTGATGTGGCACTGTACGAAACAGCTGATGATTGGTAACAAGCAATTCTGAGGCTCTAACAGCAGCCTTTTGCGTCATCAAAGAGCAGAGCATAGAATGCCAGTCAGACATCTACCTCAACTTTATCAGCTTTGAAAACGCATTAACTTTGAACCAATTTGGAAACTAATTCAACGAGACGGCGTACTCTCTCTCGTGAGGAGACGACTGTACATTGCATCGAGAATACACTCTGGTACATCTGGACTTCACAGATGATATATGTCTAATGTCACACAAACTCACAGATCTACAGGCGGAAAACAACAACTCTTTGCCAGAACAGACAGCAAGGACAGGACTTCAAATCAACATAGAGAAGATAGAGGCGATGAGGAGACCTAACCAACCATACACCACCAACAACAAACACCGATCACCATCAACCGAAGACATCTGAAGGAAGTCGCTTCCTTCATTCCTCTATGCAGCAGAGTTTCAACTACACGCGAAACGGATGAGGATGTCAAAGTCATGATTGGAAAGGCGAGACACACCTCCATTACTCCGAAATCAATGCGGAAATTCGCCCCCATTTACTCGCAGAAGAAGATTCGGGTTTTCAACACTAATGACAAATCAGTTTCTCCATAGGATTCAGAGACTAGTTCCACCACTCACGAAAATCATTTCCAACACGCTGAAGACATTCACCAGCACCTCACTTCGCTCTACACTGAACATCAGATAGCCGGTAAAGATAAACAACAAGGAACTCTGGCAACGAACCAACCAAAAATCTATTGCACTGAAAATGTGTGTGAAACAAGTGGAGGTGGATTGGACATACATTCAAAACACCATTGAGTGGCATCACGTGCCAAGCAAACCCTCGAACGGAGCCCGAATGAGGAACGACGAGTTAGGCGCCCGAGAGTGATATGGAAGAAATCGTGTGAGGAGGACTTGAATGCTTACAGACAATCGTCGAGCCATCTGAAGAAGACTGCAGAGAACAGAGTGAAAAGGAGATGTGCTGCTAAAGACCTATATCGCATTTAGAACTCAAGGGAACAATAGTAATATCTTGTCTAACATAACTAACAATCGAATGAAGGCAATGAAATGAATTCATTGTGGCATAATAAATTTATTACCAAACAATTTAAAGAAGGTTAACACAACGATCCGAATTTAACATAATCTTCTGGTTAATAATAACCTGTTCTTTACATAACCTCACTAGGATGAGGGTAATCCAAGGAATTCAGTAGAGAATTATTCTGCTTTCTACTGCCCTACGGCATATTGGACATGCGGTTACTTGATCACCACACCACTGACACGTTGCGTGACCACACATAAAAACTAGATTACGTGAACGATCCAAACATATGGGGCATCGAATCTGAAAAGCATATAAAAAACCAGTGGTTATAAATAAACATTGTACAAAATCAAAAACTAAATGAGTTTGTCGCCTATCCAGTAAAAGTGATTATAGATTTTGGTTATGGACAAATTGAACAAACCGATGTGTTCTTGTATTACTGTGTATACGGAAACCACAGGTTCACGGTGATTATCAAAGTATGCAGCATTGATGATAAAACCTCTAATATCAACAATGAGTAAAGCAAGTGCCCATCTCAGAAGGAATATAGGCTCTGTAAAGTTTTAGAGAGGTATTAACTAATGTGTACCGACAAGTAAAAAACCTAGATGCAAAGTTTTTCACAAAATTATGGTAACGTATTTTATTCTTTAGATAAAACTATCATAATGAACATATTTTAACTAGCCGATGCGCCCACTTAATCATTGTCGAAAACATATGCCAACAGTTTTTATCTGTTTCGTGTTATAGAAAAATAAAACCATGTACTTGTATACATCATTAACTACTCTTTTGAAATTTGATTAGGAAAGTTATTCTGACTATCAGGTTTAATTTAAGCGTACTTCAAAATGATGAAAATGTTTTTAGCTCAGGCTGATATTTATCAGTGTCAGTTAATTCTCTCAGCTGTATGCTGCAACTGCACAACTGTAATTATCTTTCTTTTGATTTACTCTGTATCAGAAGTCTTTGTACAATGAAATTTATGTAAAATATGTGACAGCATTCCTAAAAATTCCAGGGATTTCACTTTTGCTATATAAAGTTAGAGGAAACATTTCAGTGATCACATTATATTTATGAATATAGGTAATCGCAAACTTATCCAATAAATTAGAAGACTCTTTCGTATTTTATACATTAGGTTCATATACGACTGGCTCATGAAAGTGAAGATACCTAATGAGTTCAGTATAACTCCCTTAAATATGGATATTTTTTTTCCTTTAGGTTATTAAAAGTTGTTAACAGTATCAGTAGAACTTTAAGTTTATAGCAGTCATGACTCTCCGATGGCTATCCAATTTTCTACAAAGGCATTTCTAGAACTTTAGTCATTTTTCTTTTTATAGAGAATATCACTTCCACTTGGAAATCAGTGTTTTCTAAACAGCAGCGTTGAAGAATCCTTGTCTATCATCTACCGGGTGCCAAATAAATTGACAAAAACATCGAAACACGACATGCTCCAAACAGCAGAGGCTGTCGCTATTCGCGTTAAACAGTCAGTGCTTTCTGTGCAAAAGAAGCCCTGGCCTTCAGTGGAGGCTATAAATTCATGAATTTCTATTATTATCTTTCCTATTTTTGTGACATTCAGTTTATTTTTATGTTGATGCTATTGAACTGTAATCTATTGATATTATAATTGATTCAATATTATTTAAACATAAATGTTGTTAATGACACTAATTCATTCACCATTATGTATATATGACTGTAGAACCTGATGAAGAAGTTATCGTAAAGAGTATTCTTTGTTCAGTATCCATTCTTCTGAAAAAAAACAATGACAACTTTTCAGATGATATAGTGGTAGCGCTAACGATAGTGAGACTTTGTGACTGCCTTTTTATGCTTTATGAATAGCATGAAATGCAAATATCATGGAAAACTTTGGCATTTCATTAACGCCAAAAAATTCGAATTGTCCCTCGATGAAGTAGTTTGATAGCTGAATTTCTCGTGAGAATATCACCTTTTTATAGTTATTTTTATGATCAAGGATATCATAGTCTTGTATAGTGCACCGCTCTAGTATCTCTACTTTAACATTTCATGAAGGGTAACAAAGTTAACATGTGTTTATGAACGCTAAATCTATGACTGTCTCTTATACAAATAATACAAATAAGAGGTTAAATTTGAAGAGTGACTTTGTCATTGAATGAAACTAGTCTAGTAGGCTGATGAGTTCGCATTCTAGTCAAGTGTGTAGCTGTGAGCTACTCGAGGTAAATATACAATACGATTTGAATAAGTGGTTGACGAAACTTGATATCTTGCAGTAAAGTTAGGTTGTCCGTAATAATTAATATTCAAACATAATCTATCACAACAAGGCAGTTTATTTAATTAATGAAAATTGTTGATTACTTGTAATGAGATTTGTAACATTCATTCACAAACAATCTATATTAATATAGAAGACACCCACCTGTTCCCTCATCACTTGAAGCTCATGTTTCAGTCTACGTACCTCACGGTCACACAGTGGAGCTCTTTGACCTTGTGGTCGCCCACGTATATCAGCTCGACTCGGACCTTGATGTAACTGATTGTTCGGTGCTATTACAGCCTAAAATTATATGAATCAAATGAATATATATTTTCGATGAAATAAAAAAGTTAATTTATACAATACTTTTGCTACTTGTTAGTAATTAAGCTTACACAAAAGCTTTAGTTTATAAGGCACTACTTATATACTGGTTTATTGAAATTATTGTTGGGAAATATTTTTTTAAAGTACTGTGTATGTGTTTTAGGAAAGAAAAAACATTTTTGAAGACATACCTGTCGGTTAGATGTATTCACCAATCCACTGAGCGTCTGATTATCCATAGGAGGGAGATTGTGTGGTGGTTTATCTGTTCAGAAAAGTACGAAATGTCAACAACTTGAATAAATGCCCTTTTTATTTACACACACATTCTCTCATATATATATATGTACGCCTGTTCTAAGATTTCAAAATGTAAATCTGAATTTACTGATCTATCCTAACTAAACAGAATAATGCAGTAATAAGAAAAATACTACGTCGGTTCAGTTTTCATACCAAAAATAAATCAATAAGGCAAATAATAAAAGTTGGAAAACAGCAGCAAATAAATGTGTAACCAGTATTCAGTTGAAATTTCATTATTAGAAGCAGATTTGAGAGAATGTATTAGGTCTATTTTCATCATAATCATGATTATTGAATAGTGTTGACAGGACTGAAGATAAATTTGTCATTGGATTAGCATCAATTAAACGACAGTATTTAAGATAATGGAGGATTCACTAACTGTTTATTTTATTGGAAGCTTTTCGTAAACTGAAACAAGCGATTTCTATTGGGATGAATTGAATGCTTTCAGGTTTTATGACAAGCGCATTACTACTTGATGTAGTTGTGTTCTCTGAGCTGGATGGTTTATTTGCAAAGCTTTCATTACCCTACCATCCACCTGAGCCGTAAATCTTTTCCATCATATCTACATTACTAATAAACCAGTGAACAGTTTAAAATGAGATTTGATGTGTTTCTCCAGTTCTTAGTATTAATCAAGTGTTATTAATCAGCAACGTGTACTCTAGCATGTAATGAATACATAATAAGTGTTAGGAGATTTTATTGTTAAATTGGTAACCAGAATAATAGTGAGCTATTTCATGTTGACTGGGTAACACTAATAGATGCATATTGACAAACAAAAGCATGAGTAGTCCAGTGCATCGAGTTTATGAAGTTTAACCTTGGAGTAGGCGATTTGCTCTGCTTAAGAGAGAGAGTGAGAGAGAGGAAGAGAGTTGCAATAGAAACACAATATTTTCAAGTATTATTGAAAACAATTGGACACGCATATAATTTAAGTTACCAGCTGAAATTTGGCCAATTGGATTGGAATTATTCTGATCAGCTTGCCATACATACTTAACATATTAATTTCCATCATTTTTTGTTTCCATCCTTTTTTCTGCTTTTAGATGTTGTGATGTCTAACAAGTGTACTGATAAAAATTACAGTGTAAGGCAGATGAGAATGTGGGACAGTGTAGTTTTTAGAAGAGGCTAGAAATTACCACGACTTTGCTTTGCACAGAAATGTATAAAGGTTGCTTTTTGTTTTGAAAAAAACAAAAAATTTACTTCGAGAATGATTTGCATTTACAGAAGAAAACCATTCCATCTAAGCATATAAGTTATCAGTGAGAATTAGTGCTTGTACATTCATCACTTGTGTCAGAGATAATGTGGTAGTATTAAACATCTGACCTTCGATGAGTCATTAGGAAGGAAAAAAATAGGTCATTATGGCTTTTTTGTTTCATTTAGGTTTTGAGGTTGTGTTATTTCCTCCATAGCGCTTAGCATACATACAAACACTAACGCAGATAAAGAGTATTGCTAAAATTTAATACAGGCCTTTTGAATGAAAATGCGTTGTCAGAAGATTTGTTCATTTTCATATTTGTGCTGCCGCCGGTTTGTTCGATTGTACCCCGCGAGAATATTTTTAAGGAATATGTGTATGTATCTGGTGTGAAACCACAAAGAGATTTTAAACTAACGTATTTTTTGGCTTAATCACACACTTAAGACGTATGGTTTTTTCTGTAAGTACAACGCACAATTAGAAACATCTCCTAAGCCTTATAATAACAAAATTTAAATAATAACAACAATTGGTGTTCAAAACAGAAACTGACAGGTTTCTGTCAGCCATATCGATGCGATATTATACAGTCCTTATCCTTGTGGTGTAGAAGAGGTGTACCTAGGTGAATAAGGTTACTTTTGACTGTAGCTTATGGTTCACTATTATATATTCACTTCAGAATTATTGTAATGTCTTCTATAAAGTGATTTCTCAGTTTAAATAATGACCTAAAAACATTTTCCAGTCAAACAAGAGAAATCCCAGGTGTTTAACGTTGAAAGTATAATCACTTTTAAGAAAAATACATATACTTTAGACGACACACAACCAATGACATACTTGAAAGAAGTTGGTTCTGAACTAATTCCATTTCCGTCTGAACGTTGCCCAAGACAGAATTATTCGTAGGCAATACATTTGTAATATTGGAAACATTGGGAATAAGGTTTGTTTCATTGTTATTTGAAGAATTCACAGTAAATGGATTTGAATCTCTCCTATCTTGTCCTAAGGCAACACTAGTAGACTGATGATTGACTCCAGAACAGGCTACTATTACTGGCCATAACGACTGCACAGAGTTTCCACACGCTGGGCATCCGCTTAAACAAATCCCTCCGGTTAACAATTCGTCCAGTAAACTGTGAAGTTTCGTTATCATTGATAGTAAACGACCTAATGGTACATTTCGCCACGAATTTATGTTGTTTCTTTTTGTAATGAATGATGACGCTGCTGTTACATCACGTGAAAATAATGGATCTAACTCGTCAATATCTCGATTTGATTGGACAGCAGTAGTACTAGCAGCAATACCTGTTGATGTTGATGCAGATGCTACTGCTTCTGATGCCACAGCTGTTGATAATGAAAGATTGTTACTGTTGATGACATTGTTGCTAGCTGTATTAATTCGACTTCCACCACTTTCGTCATCATCATCACCGCCAAAACTGATAGTTGATATCTGGTGGATAATTTCCAGATGATGCACTTTAGTCTCTAAACAAGATTTACACCAAAGCATATGACTACATGGTCTAGCTAACACTACACCATTTGACAGACCACATTCGCAGCATGGTGCAAACTGTATGTGAAGAGAAAACAAACAAAAAAGATCGCGAAGTTAGGCTAGATAAACAAGAATATGAAAATGCACATTGGTATACTGTAGTATGGGGTTTTCCACAGCTTCCAATGTAAAGTAATTTGGAAACTAATTCAACGCGACAGCGTGCACCAAATCTTTATCACCATCATTCAGCGGTTGTATGACGCTGTCACGTGCTAGGTGATCCACAACCAAAAAATCAGACAAGCCTTTGAAGAGAATACAGTGCTGAGACAAGGCTCCCCACTATCACCGATGACACTACTAATTGTGGTGGACTGGATCAAGCGATAAACTCTCCCTCTCTCTCGTGAGGAGACGACTGTACATTGCATCGAGAATACACTCTGGTACATCTGGACTTCACAGATGATATATGTCTAATGTCACACAAACTCACAGATCTACAGGCGGAAAACAACAACTCTTTGCCAGAACAGACAGCAAGGACAGGACTTCAAATCAACATAGAGAAGATAGAGGCGATGAGGAGACCTAACCAACCATACACCACCAACAACAAACACCGATCACCATCAACCGAAGACATCTGAAGGAAGTCGCTTCCTTCATTCCTCTATGCAGCAGAGTTTCAACTACACGCGAAACGGATGAGGATGTCAAAGTCATGATTGGAAAGGCGAGACACACCTCCATTACTCCGAAATCAATGCGGAAATTCGCCCCCATTTACTCGCAGAAGAAGATTCGGGTTTTCAACACTAATGACAAATCAGTTTCTCCATAGGATTCAGAGACTAGTTCCACCACTCACGAAAATCATTTCCAACACGCTGAAGACATTCACCAGCACCTCACTTCGCTCTACACTGAACATCAGATAGCCGGAAAAGATAAACAACAAGGAACTCTGGCAACGAACCAACCAAAAATCTATTGCACTGAAAATGTGTGTGAAACAAGTGGAGGTGGATTGGACATACATTCAAAACACCATTGAGTGGCATCACGTGCCAAGCAAACCCTCGAACGGAGCCCGAATGAGGAACGACGAGTTAGGCGCCCGAGAGTGATATGGAAGAAATCGTGTGAGGAGGACTTGAATGCTTACAGACAATCGTCGAGCCATCTGAAGAAGACTGCAGAGAACAGAGTGAAAAGGAGATGTGCTGCTAAAGACCTATATCGCACTTGGAACCCAAGGGAACCATAGTAGTGTTGATATAATAATAGGATGAACTTTTTGTTCACGAAATTGCTAACCACTTAAAAACTGAGGAAGTATTAACCATACCGTTGATTTGATTCCACTTTTTGTTCTTAGGATTGATCGTATGATCATGATCCGTCGTAATGTATGCGTGTGCTTTTAGGTAAAGATGAAATAACATAACACGAATATCTCATCTTGTGATTTGCTTAGCGTCGCATTATGACTAAAATGACTTACACTTGTAAAGTAAATCATGATGTCATCCTACTTAACTAACTTATGTTTCGTACCTGGCTTACTCATGTATAACATGATCTTAAACCACAACTTTTGAGCAGGGTTGTTTCAACAGAAAGGGATTCTTGTTTGTAAAAGGTAAAACACTCTGGTGATCTTGTCAAATAAAGAAGATGCTGACTGACTTAACTCAAAAATACTGAACATTTAATAAGAGTTATCTGAAATATGTTCTTAGTATTTTGTTATTTTCATAATGATCAGATTGAGGGACCATAAAAATCCATGCTTAGAGAAAAGGTTTACTACATATAAACATGATGAGAATGTAACACAATGTTAAATTAAAGACTACAATCAACTAAAACATAAAATATGATATGCCTACAGGCAAATTAACATGAATAATTCACAGAAAGTTATCACTATGGTATATTTTCAAGAGAGTTTATAGTTGGAAATAAAGTCTAGCAGAAATTAATCTAGTAATGATAGACTATATAATTAGGCATAACGTTAAGTGGTGATACACTTGACTCCATATATCAGCATTAAAAATTCCTAAGTGTACACCTTGGATATTATGACTAGAAAATAAGATTCCCATGCATACATTAGCAGTGTAGTGACTCAAAATTTCAGTCTACTTTGCAGTATTTTTCCCAGAAACGAATGAATATGTACAACTCAGTATTTCTAACAGTGTTAAGAATAATAGGCCCTTTTGTAAACACTAGAGGATAACTCACTTTATGATATCCTGTAATCCTTTGTCGACATAAAAGACACTTCTTTATTAACGGTGTACACGTCTCACAAGTTATAATGTGACCGCATGGCAACATAATTGTAGATCTATTTCGCTCAGAGCATACTAGACACTCCCGCCACTCTAAATCAATATCATCAAGTGTAGGTGGAAGAAGTGTATAAATACTTGACTGAGATAAATTGAAATGCAGGTTATTTGGTTCAGGAATAAGTTGATTCTCAATAGAAAATGGTTGATTCAAAGGATTTTCAGCTGCTTGATTCATTATTGACGGTTGTATTATGTAGGAATTGTTTGATCCTACAACTGAACAACTTGGAAGCAAATCTGTTTGAGATATTTGACGATTATCAGTTTGGAACAATGCGTCAACTAAGTTTTCTTCATCACTATCAGATATTAGTTGAGGCAAGGGAGAATTAGGTTGGTTAATTTCACGCCTAGGACTACGATTTACTGATTCACTATTTATTGGACAACATTTCATGAAGTTTAAGGCTTCCATGTGACATTGCTGTAAAGTTAACTGCAGAACGGGATCAGTACATTCCCGAAAAATATCTGTAAAGAAATTTTCACTGATCATTTCGGCGCTCGCATTATCTATATCCTCTTCGACACTTTCTAAAGTAACTTCTGAAAAACGGGATGACCACGATTCTGCACCTATAGCTGAAGCTAAACATGCAGCAATAAGCACATTACGCGAAACACCTATTTGTAGAGTTGCCTCGATTGTAGACTTCAAGCGCCGACACAAAGGGCTTGGGGAGGTTAGAGTTGATGAGTCGGCTGTTGTATTTCGGTTAGATTCCTCTTCGTTATCATTGTCAATCTGTATCAACTGTTCTTCATTATTATTTCTGTTTTGATGCAGTCTCCCTCTATTCATGCTGCCGGAAGGTGCTCCTGTCGAAGCTGACGTGAGTGTTAGTGAATCAGCCATTCGAACGAGAATGCGTGCTACCGAAGCAAGGAATGGCACCAGAGCAACATCAAAACGTGTGACATTAGCACTCTACGAAGAAAAACAAAGCATTAAGAGAAAATTATGTAACGAAATTTACTGATTAAATATTTTTAGAAACTTTATACATCTATTCTTCTTTAAAAATTCGAATGAAATAAGAACAACATTTTGTGCAAAGTAAGATTGTGTCATCAATTATTTTGCTGGCTTCTCATCAGCTGATCGCAGCCCAAAGATATTGTTAAGTTTGTGGACAGAAACAATTTTAACATGATGTCAGCTGACAGAGAGTTAAAGAGCTGATCGCTTCTGAGTAAATTTTGGTAGTATTATGCTTGATCATTATCAACAAAGATCCTAGCAGACAAGTCCTCCAAATATTAGTTACTTTTCGAATCTTCTCAATATAGCAAGGTCGCAGCAAGCAAACCTTACCCGGTGAAAATATAAAGGGCTTTTAATATGGAGTTGGATACAGTTGATGTTGCCAACTGTTCTTTATTATCACTAATTGGTTTGTTATGTAATCTACTACAATTTCATACTCTAAAAGCTTATCAAATAAATCTATTACAGCTATAAACTCACTTTCCTGATGATATGTTGATATGGTTATTTTCATGTGTGAATGAGAAATTTCTGTCGTCAGACTCTTTGGCCAAAAATTACTTATTTCCTCTTTCTGAACATCCGAATATCAAAAACAAAGATCAGTAGCTGCGCCATTTTATCTGAGGGTCTTTGTTTTTTTATCAATATACTCAAACATGTGAATTATTTGACTGCAGCTCAAAAATAATTATGTGTATAAAGTCAGGATAGAAAGATAACATATAATTTTTCGGCTGAGAATATGTTGTGAAAATAAGTGTAACAATAATATGTATGCGTAAAAGCGAAACACTGTACTCATCTAAACGTAACCACTACAGATAACCTTTTACTAAATTTGTAATGCAATACAATGCGAAATAGTTTTTCTGCCTGTTGGATAAATCCAACAATTATTGATCCTTTATTTGTCATTCTGTTTTACAATAGCCTGCTTTAAATTTCTCTTTAATTCCTCAGTTCCCAAATAAATATACTTTACAATAAACTTTCTATGGTTTAATCACACAGCTATTTTGCCTTGTTGAGTGGATGACTCATCATTATATGTTACAATATCTGTCAACAAGTATGAAGAATGCAAAACTCCTGCGCAAACAGTTATTGAAGTTTTTCAGAAATACTTTATCCAATATCAAACTGGTAGCTTGTTTATTATTTTATTTTATTTAAACGCAGAAAACATTGGTACAATATGGCACCAAGAAAGATGCGTCACACAATAATAATAAAACAACATAGATTAAAAGTAAAAATATAGGTAGAAAACGAATAAAGAACTTCATCAGGAAGGAAAACAGTCATGTTTAACAAGTTCAAACAGTATTCGTTAACTATCATCAGGAAGGGAAGAAAGAAGGAAATTGCAGCACGTTCGCCATTGATTACGATTCTTGGCCATATCCGATAACGTTTCGAGCCATCGATTTGAGCTATCTCGCGGACCCCAACCAGGGAGTCGTGACACACCAACCGATGCTAATCTAGCACAAATATCCTTCATCCCACGACGCCACATCATGGACTGACCACCCCTCCGCCTTTTTCATCCCGTCCCAGGGCTAGCGAACAGAGACCTGTACGGAAGCCTCTGGGATGACATTCGCAGCACATGTCCAAGCCACCGGAGCTGGTGTTTCCAGATGACGACACTCAATGAATGGTGATCTCCACTGTGTTCAAACACACACCGCCGAACCTCAGAATTACTCATGCGATTATGCCATCGAACGTAAGCAATCCTGCGGAGACAGCGATGATCGAACACGCAGAGTCGCCGCACATCCTCAGCTCGGAGAGGCCAGGTTTCACAGGCGTAGAGCAAGACAGCCCGCACCGAATAATGGTATACCCGACCTTTGACAGCCAGGCTAACGTCGCGACGGCGCCACAGGTGGCACAAGTTGATGTATGCCACCCTAGCCTTCATTATACAGTTGGAAATCTCATCCATCACCCCTCCGCCAGCACTCACACAACTACCCAGGTACACAAACTTATCAACAACTTCAAGTGGTTCACCCGCAAGAGTGAGCGCAGGTACAGGCTCCTGCCAATCTTGTAACAATACTTTGCACTTAGACGGTGCAACGCATATACCATACTTACAAACACTGATCACCAACTGATTAAGTGCGATTTGGGCAGCCTGCATGCTATCGCACAGTAAGACGATATCGTCTGCACACTCGAGGTCGAAAAGTCTATCTCCAGGTAGCAGATCTACACCACCTTCACGCACATCCTTCAGAGCTGACTCCAGAATGTCATCGATGGCAAAGTTAAAGAGAAATGGAGAGATTGGGCAACCCTGTCTAACCCCACTGTTGGTTGGGAACAGTGATGATAGTTGCTTGCATGCCCTCACTCTACCTGAGATGTTTCTCTGTATATAGGACTTTCAAGATGTTAACAAATTTCTCAGGTACAGCCCTCTCTAACGGACAGTTCCAAAGAAAAGTTCAGTCCAACGAATCGAAGGCAGCCCTAATATCAAGAAACACAACGATTGCTAGCCTGCAATAAGTATAGCGGTGTTCCAACAACTGGCGAAGGGTGAACACATGATCAATGCATCCATGACCTGAACGAAACCCAGCCAGCTCTTCGTGAATCAATCCTTCACGTATTTTGCACAGTCTGCGAAGCAAGACAGAAGCCAATAATTTAGACGCGACTGGTAGCAGACTGATACCCCTATGATTGTCACACGAATTACGTCGACCCTTTTTAAAGATAGGGACGATGATGGCTTCGTTCCACATTGATGGTACACTCTCAGTTTCCCATACCTTCCTGAACAACCCAGTTGGAGCCATTGTAAGAGTCTCACCACCATCTTTAAAAAGAGCCGGGGGTAAATTGTCTGGGCCGGGCGCCTTATGGCGTTTTAACACTTGGAGTTCCTTACGGACCTCCGCTTCGGTTGGTGGGTCGGTATTAACCGACCAAGGAGCACTGGGGCTAATGACAGCAGACATTGAAGCTGGTGACCAGCTAAACTGTTTCCCGAAGTTCTCTGCCCAGCGTTCCAGGCGTCTTTTCAAACTGGTAATTGGCGTGCCATCTGCCTCACAGACCGTCTCGCTGACACCTTGTTTCTTGCTGCCGGTGTCTCGGATGAGCTGGAAGAGCTTCCGACTGTTGCCAGATGCGGCAGCTGACTCCATCTCATACGCACGTTTTAACCACCAGGCTTCGCGGTCCTTAGGTAAACACTATCTAGTCTTGCGTGTAAGTGCCTTTCGCTTATTGCTGTATTCTCTGCCAGCCGGAATGGACCGGCGTTCATCCAGGAGTTGCAAGGAACTCGCAGAAACCCAGTGTTTTTAGCACAGCATTCATTCAAGCCGCAAGCGGTTACACTATCTCTTTGCATGGCACCTTGCATATGGAGCCAATGTTCATCTATACTACTTGGGGGGTTGCTGGCAAGCATTGATTGTAACTCATTCTGATATTTCAGGTGCTACTAGTTTGCTTACATCAACGTTTAGACGACGCCTTTTATGAACCCCACCAAATAGCAAGACGAACTTGGCACACACTAACGCATGATCGGAGTCCAGACATGTGCTCCAGAAGGAGCAACAGTCTTGTATGCATCCTCGCCACACGAAACTGACAGCAATGTGATCGATCTGAGTCCAAGCTTGATTCGCAGAGAAAAGACGCCAGGTAGCGCTACGGCGATGGCTGTGCCGGAAGTTGGTGCTGGCTAGAAATAGGTTGTGATCCGCGCAAAGCTGCAGAAGACGGTCCCCATTATCTGACCTGCAACCATGTAGTCCCCATTGACCACCTAGACGATTCTCCTCTGAGCTCAGACGCCCGACCTGTGCATTCAAGTCCCCAGCCAGCACTACGATATCCCTCCGACCCGCTTGTCTCAAGAGATCGTTAAGTTGGTGGTAGAACTCGTCCTTCATTGCATCCGGACTGCAATCTGTTGGTGCATAGGCAGAGACAACAAATAGACACCGCCTATCTGGCCTACTACTCCTTACTTTCGTATAACCTTCCAGCCTCACAGCACATAAACGACTGTTAATGGGAATCCAGTCGAGCAGTGCAGCTTCGGCTCTAGCGCTCAGTGCGACGACGACACCAGCTACGCCGGATGCCGACGCCACAGGGTCCCCGGACAAGCGCAGGTGGTACATACTACTAGAACTTCCAGATGGAGAGGATAATCGAAGCACTTCACTGGGATCTTGAATGCGAGTCTCCGAAATGCAGCAGACATCGATAGCGAGGCTTTCCAACATTCTTACCAACCATGCCTGTTGTCCGATTTGCATCAGCGTCCGAACATTCTAGGTGGCCAGCTTGAACGCGGCACGCGGTTTCAGGATATCTGTGTTAGATGTCACATTGGGGACAGCCATTTTGAGGGTTACTCACTAACATCTCGAAACGACACGGATAGGCTAGGAATCCAAACAAAGGCGAAAGGCTGTCGGAGGTTAAGAAGTCAAGGTGAGCAAAGGTAAAATACAGGAAACTAAGTATAAAAATAAAAGTAAGGTTGGAAAGAGATATATCAACTGGGACATCATTATTGCTTGAGAGCATTGTTAAGAGCGCGCGATGAGTTTCACTGATAGTTTGTTGCTTCATTTAATTAATTGTGTGAGGGCTGAGATATTGCCCGGGCGCCCAGACCGAAGCAGGTGGTTTTCTTAAGGGACCACTCCCCAAGCCTTTGACTTGGAGTCTAATCCGCAAGGCAGCGGAGCAGCATCAGGTGCTGCGTTCCCATGGTTGCCGGTGACCCATATGGGTTCGTACGCCACTTGATCCGATTGGATTCTGGAGCCCATGTACCCCATGGTAACTGCTTTTAGTCTAACCGCTATCCAAACAACCTTCCTGGCATGGTAGGACCTGCAGGGACATGAGTCCCAGCCAGTTTAGCTTGTTGGGTCACTGCGGCATTCAAGCCCGACCACCACGGCAAGGTAGCAGTTATCGGCCGGGACTGGTAGCTTGACAAAAAAAAACATCCCTTTCCCACTAACATTTTGATGTGTAAGATAGGTTTATATTATTCAAAGGAATAGAAAGGTAGTCGTTAAATTAGTGTTCCAACCAAGGTGGTATTATTTAAATGTATTGAATCTATACATCCTTAATTAACAAACTGATGATGAAGTTTATAAGCAAATATTACGACTAAATATTTGTACTTCATTTTCAACGACATCTGATAAGTGCCTATGAGAATAATTTATCAACATAGAAGGGATAGGAAGTGTTTGGCACTGATAACAAGACGTTACATATAGTCTCAGATAATGAAATACTGAAGTTTACGTTACTTTATTGGTGTTTTCGCATTATAAATTTCAGCATTGAAAAAGCAGTAATTTCACTATTACTCTCTTACTTTAACTGGTCTTCTACCTGTCACCATGGTGAAATAATTCCTCCTATATTTCGTTAAATCTATCTATCTGCCATCAGTCTGTTAACAGCTTATTCATTATGTCTTCTTTCTTAACATGACTTCTCTTACATGTAAATTCAACTGTCACATTTTTTTTCATTTGACGACTGTTTCGATCTTGGTGTGTCCAATGGTGTTCCGGTAATACATATAACTATTTTATTTTTAATCAACACATCATCGTTAATTGTGATTATATCCAATCTTCATTGTTTTTTTTTAGAACACTTAAAGACAATAAATTTACATTTATTTCATTAATAAAATATATGTGCATAGTTTTCTGCAGGAAAATACTGGTAAAAAGTAACGCTTTTCCACTTAGTAGTTTCTTTCCTTTAGGGATTTAAATTGCAGCGGCTTCCCATATCTGTTGTAAGATAATACTGGGAACTTTAATAAAGGAGTATTCAGTGGAAAACAAATCTTTTTCGTTATCATGATACCTTTTCTGAAGTTCATTAAACTAATTAATCGTTTTACTCCATGAACACTGGACAAAATTTCGTCGAAAAACTAACAGTTAACCTTTGGGCTGTTTTAAGTTTGAATAATTTCAGTCTTCATCACTTTTTATACCGGTTAGTGAGAATTATTAATCTTGTTTTGTGATAATTCGAAATGTTTGTGCATAAAATGAAAGCGATAAAATGCAGTACATCCGTAGTATTCCGTACTACATTAAACAGTTATGTAATGTTTGTAGTAAATAAAACTGAGTATAAACTTTATTCTTAACTGCTAATTTTATTTTCTAAATATTGACACGTCAGCTGTATAACCTTGTTACATTCTGATACTGGTTACGCAGTGAATTTGCATAAAGCTATGCCACTAGTACACGATTAAATAACGTTCATTGGAGAGTGTTACGGATAAGACAATAAAGATATGAAGCATTGTTTTTAAAAAAATACTTACCTGAGACTCTTCATTTTCAGCTAAAGCAGTCAGAGCTAACTGCATTGGACTTCGTCCTGCTCCGCTGCGACAACCCGCTCTAGCTCTGTAACAAAGTAATATGCAAACAACACCTGGATGCGCCCTGTGAACAGCAAGATGGAGTGGTGTAAATACGGAGCCTAGTATTTCTGAATTACATCCATCTAATGGAGGCAGACCAGTTGGACGGCGAACAACTAGGTTTGGACTAGCGCCCGCTTGTAAAAGGAGATCTACAGCTTCCAAATTTCCACTCAGTGAAGCAAGATGTAAAGCTGTCAAGCCATCTGGTTGTGGCTCATCCACTATCCACGGTGTTAATGCGCAATGTTCGAGTAAAAGACGAGTAATTCTGTTGGAAAACAATAAATATTAGTGATAAAAACTGTGATGAACACTTAATAGGCATATATTCTGAGGGGGAAATTAAAAAAATAATGAGTATTTAAAGGATAGTAAAACCGAGTGCACCCTGTGGATTGAAATTAAATGTGTACCTGTTGGGACACAGAGTAATCATTATGACATGGGTGGAGGCAGCTTCTCCTGAATTTAAATGTAATACTCATTCTAAAGTGAAATACTTCAAGTAATCAAGAAATACTTGTCTGCTAGCCAGCTTTTACAATCTTTTTCTATTTAAGATTCTTTGATAACCTAGGCAATCTGTGTTTCACAAACCGAATTCCCAAAATCTTTTCGGTTTCATAGGAAAATGATTCAAATTTGATATCTGTATGGAGTATTCATCTGTCTGATTTGATTTATTTGATATGTACAAGAAAGAAAATTGTGTGCACATACCAGTCAGATATCTCTTTGAGATATTTGGTTAAAGGCTAAGCACTAGTAGTTAGCTGTATCCTGGTCTTAATCACCCTATAGACAATTTAGGCAATAAATGCAAGTCTGGTCTCCTAAATGCTGGACATGTTTGTGTGCATCCTCCTTTTGCAGACATTTTGTATCAACATGCAAACATATTAACACACATACGCACATACACTTGCGCATGTAAAGTTTTAAATATTTAGGTTTAGTCACACCCATTTTGTAGCCTTTGGTTTGTGGTGAAAGTAAGTTTTTCTTTCGGTCTCTTATCTGACTGCCTGATAACAGTATGATGTTTCCTTTAAAAAAACTGCTTTCTCTTGAAAACTCCCAACACACGGCACAATTTAATACCTGTCTAACAGACAAAGCCAGAATATATAGCACAAGGAGAAATAGGTGAATATATATAAAGCTATCGATTGAACGACAGATTTTACAATACAGGAAATCCGAAGTGTATTGGGTTATTAGAATGTACCAATCAGTATTGAGGGTTTAATAGTGATATTAGTAAGCTAGACAGCAATAAAATCGAATTCTAAGACTAGTTTCCACATTTAAAGTGAACATATGCACATTCTTCTTACACGCTTTATTATAATAGTAACACAATACAAAATATAAGATATACATCAAACCAGACGGACCGAAAGCTTATGATAATAATAATGTTATTTTTTACTATTTTATGTTTTCCTTTTTGCTTAGCGATGTTGTTGTTATGTAAGAATTAATTAAACAGATGAAGGAAAACAAAACATACATTTGTAAGACTTACGAAGTTCATTTATCTATTTTAAGCTATTTCATACTGTCTTTATATAATAAACTTCATAATAATCTTGTAGTCAGTTATGCGGAGAAAGTAAAGCGCTTTGAGCTCATATGACCGTGAAATATGTCAGATTACAGAGAATTGGTTCATATATATATATATATATATATATATATATATAGAGAGAGAGAGAGAGAGAGAGAGTACAATCACAAATGCACTGATTAAAGTTGTTACAATAAATTGAATTTGAGATTGTCTATCATATTACTAAGTGTGACTTACTCGTATCCCTTCATTCAACAAACATAATATATAACTTAGTTACTACTTTTCTAGTTTAAGTGCTTTAAATGTTTAATTTACTCGAGGGAAAAAACTACACAAAAATTGACAACAATTTGTGAAATAAGGTTCATCGACATTCACTTTAGAAACAATCTAACCCAACTGCGGTTTTAGTTTTATTCATGGAACTTATATTACTTTGTGTTTACTGTTTACTACATGAAACGACCAGATCCTACTAATGTGGCAAGTATAACGTTAGTACTGAGTTTCATACAAGGTATATTTATGACAATTAAACGGCTTACAACAAAGCCGTTTGACCATAATGACACAAGTGTCCGACCTTTATTGGGTTAATAAGCACATACACATTTCATATCATATAGTGAAAGCATGGAACATAACAGAAATGATAAAAACCTGACAGAAATGTCAACCTTAGTCGGTTGCAAAGTGTTTTCATTGTTAAACAAAATTTAACCATGACAGGAAAAACAGCTACAATAAAACAGTGCTAAAGTGCGAAGAAGTTCCTTCATTTCTTTGTCAATAATTCTCACTAAAGCATCCCATGCTATTCATTTTAAGTGAGGAAGGAATTTAAACTTAAGGATACAAGGCATAGCAAAATATTCTCTGAGGGGTTGTTTCTCTTTGTTGCATTCTCAAACACATATATTAACAGGATAACACCTAGTTACTTCACGTTGATTGGACTTCATTTATAATTGCTAATTAGAATGGATGTACAGCCATCCTGGTTTTAATTGTAACAAGTTTTAAACGTAACTATCTTTAGTTATTTGTTCACATTATATTGATTTACCCTATTTCCATTCAAAATATACCTTTATCATCATTACATATGAATTTATTTAAATGAAAGAGACGGATCACCAGACAGAAAGAAGTTGACATTGTTTTAAAATACACCAATATAGTCAGAAAACCTAAGTGATCCCTTTATGTGAATTAATTACGTTCTTCCTTCCGTCATTTCCTTGAAATATGCGAATCACCCAACCTTTATTTACTTTTAGCGTTTGACAGGTTGACCACTTCTTGTCTCATAATCAGATTTGGGAAAACTCATGTTAAAAGGTACACGTAATGCCATGTCACTTGGTGATTGTTGCCAAAAGAAAGAGATTAGTCAAGGAAAATATTAGAAAAGCATCACGAGTGTGGTTAGGCATGAACAATACTGTTTACTCGGCATTATTATTAGTCGGAAAAAAGATACATTTGTAATTTTCTAGCATGGATTTTAACAGAAAATGAAGAATAAAGTTCACTATTACTATTCAAACTTGGATTTCAGTGTTAAAATTCAATTACAGGCTATCACAAATGGTGTTTTTCCGGTTTAGTAATATACAGAAACTTCTTTTTTAAACACTGTTGTGCCTAATATTTGGGATATATTTAGGAAAACTTTGTCAGTTTACGATGACTGCATATAAGATGTTGGCTATGACTGCAGAATGATTTGTTGCCAGGGCTTTGGTCTACTAAACTCGGGTATGCCCAGCTTCATGTGTATGTTTATCATTTATAGGCTAGCAACTAATAGGTCAGGCTTGTGCGTAAATATGCTACCACTGAAATGTATAGTTAAGTATTCATGTTTGATTATGATAAAGCGTCTAATCCTGCTGTGTGAAAGGAAAACAGCCATGAACCAATCACAGTTAAATTAGGTATGGGGATAATTAATTTTGTGCATTTTTCATACCCTTGTAGTCCAATAAGTGATGGACTGTGCATTTATAGTGAATGTGGGTTGAACAACAATCTGCAGCTTAGGCAGGGCAGTAGATAAGGTCAGCAGTATAAATTTACACTATTTAATGGTGAAACGCACACACACACATGTACACCTACTACCTATGACCTGAAAATAAGTGTTCACTGAAGTATTTCAAGGCATATATATATATATATATATATATACTGGACTGCAATTTAGATTTAAGGTTTTTGCACAATGAAAGGTTTGATTCTATACATTTATCACAAAATTGGATGTAATAATGAATTCTTTAAATGCATAATATTTGCCTTCTCGTGTATTATCTTCTAGTCTATGCATACTTCCCAATAGGCCATATTGCAATTTATTCTCTACTAGTTTTATTTTTCAATAAAACTAGTTATGAGTACTTTTATGGAATGTTGTGAAGTATGTACTCGACTGGGACTAGTCTACAGTTATGTTACGGGAGACGAGTGACACTCAAAAGTGGATAGGTGAGTTTAACATTTTCATCAATAGATGAATGTACATTTCTTTTTCGATGATATTATATTTCTTTGCTGATATAATTTATTTACTAACAGTCGGTCTTAATACAGTATTTCAGGATTTCATTAATAGCCTAAATAATTTAGTCTTACGGTTTCCAACATCGCAAGACAAATTTGAATCTGAGTGAAAATGGAAGTCTTCTTGAGGTTATGTGCTCGTTAAAAAATAATGAAATTTAATGCAAGCTATTTTTCCTGCTGACTAACATTGAATAGTTTAATTATCAATACTTTAACTGGTGTAGTGATGAAAATAACCAAATCACCAAATTTAAATCAATTTAAGGCCTTAAAAATGTCTTTCCAATACTTAAACATACTTTATTTAATGACTATTAGAAGTTAAGGTTGAGTGAAAAGATTGCACTTGAAATCATCATCACTTTATATCTATTCTCTCTCTCTCTATTATCAGACAGGAAAGATTACTAGACAAGAAGTCCCTCTTGCATTCTATGATAAACAGTCGGCTAAACAGATTAATCCATGTGATATCACTTATTATATGGGAATCAATTTGCCATTAAATAAGTTCTCATAATTACATTGTTACTATTTTCATAACCTGTATGTTATGTACTCACATTACAGTGTATACATATCATTTCCCATGAAAATAAAAATTGTGACTACTCAGGGGGATAATTAATATCTTGATTACTACTACTACTACTACTACTAATAATAATAATAATAATAGTAATAATATCTTTTCTGATATACATTTAATATATTTCAGCTAACAATCCGGAAACTATTTTGCAGTTATTACTATTAACCGAAACTGAGTCGCACATAATTACATTACAAAATAAATGAAAAGGACAAGATAAAAAATACTTTCAATAGCAGTGAAATTGTCTACATATAATGTCACGGGTAAATAAAAATATGTACAATAGAGTTTTGCATGGAGGATTTCATCATGAGCTGACATCATGAGCAATCAAACAAAATCCATACAAAACTAATACTTGAAAATATAGAGTTTTCTCAAAAATAATAAATAAATACATATAATGTATATATATTTCACTTTGTTCCTAATTTATTCAGATTCCAAAAGACAGGTATCAAGATAAACAAAATAATAAAACAAATGTGATGGGTTAGAAATATTATGTAAGTTAATTTATTATTATTGA